GTCGCATTGACTACCTGCTGTGAACTGCAAAAAAGGCTTCGTCAATTAGCATCCATCTATGTCACAACTATTTCAAGATAATTCAGTAAACAAAGCAATATTCAAATGCATGACTGATCAATATCCATCAAGATATACCGCACGAAACAATAAATTTTAGAACAGCACAAAAACCCACGGGTTCGTTGACATCGCAGGCAACCGACAGGCCAAACAACCGACTGTATGACAAACAAAGCCTTGTACATGCACAAAAAAGAAGAACAACACGTTTTATAAGTCTAAGTTTACAATTACATTCATCAAATCTCCTTAGAAACAATGCACGACGCAAGCACACACGGCTGCACACGACATCACCAACCTACCAAAGTCAAATATAAACTTACCGCCACTGTTCCAGCCAATGAAAGACCAGAAAACCTCAAGCGCGGAGAAATTAAACCATCATATCCTATACCCTCGCCCTACGATGGGATTACGTTGCTCTTCTTTTTGTTAAAGTTAGCACCGATTATAAAACTCGACTAACTAATCAGTGAATGTGGCGCATTGAGAAATACAGAAGTATTGTTTCCACTTTACAAAGATACCCAGTTCTATGGTGGAGATATTGTGAGCACTAGAGAGAAAACAACGTTTGAAGTCACTTTTTCTGTACAAACTTTCTTTGTAAGCATTTCATCTTATTGTTGAATTATCGTCCGATGGGTTGTCACTTCAAACCCATTCCTATCCTTGTTTTGTTTTTCCCGGCGACGTCATTGTAAGCTTGAGTTGGAGGTGAATTACATTTGCGGAGACAAACACTCTACTGTCGATTAGAAACTTGGGGTCTTAGATTGCCATGTGTAAGTTTCGGTGCCAAGGCTGTTAATTCTAACAAAGAGGGGACCCAGCTGACTGATATTCCTTCTGCCGTAGTACTTAGGAAAAGGGCCAGAGCTTAAACAAGCTCCAGTGCTAGGGTGGATTCCGTTTAACACACATAAATTTTACTTCTTGCGTTGATGAATGAATTCGTTTGAGGCACTTGAGCGGGATCTTGGTGTGGATATATATATATTGCACAGGACATCAAAAGCAAGGCCTCCTATGATGTTGGTTAGATCGGATTATTGTCTGACTGGAATCAGTGTGTGAGTGTTGTATGAGGTGAGCTTGAAGGGGGTAAATGAGGTTAAACACCCATGTTAAATAAAGCTTTAGAAGATAGGCTCCGGAGAACAGCTGCATATGAGATGAAAAAGGTGCTGATATCAATAAATACTGCCCCATCAGCATAATGTACGTGGTTTCCCGTGTAATTGAAAAGATGGTAAAGAGTCATATCATCCAGTACTTGCTCTCTAATGACCTAATATCCCCATCCCAACATGGCTTCACACAATGCATAGATAATGGGCATTCAGTAACAACAATATTCTGGACTATAGCAAAGCCCTTGATAAAGTCCCACATATAAGACTCCTAACAAAACTTCAGTCCTACCGAATGACGAAAAAGCCTCTCAAATAGATAAACTCTTTCCTCACAGAAAGATAGCAGTTAGGCAAAATCAACCACCATCTGTCTTCATCAAAGCAGACAACTAGTGGTGTGATACAAATTAGCGTTCTTGGCCCTATTATATTTCTCTTATTCATAAATGACGTAGTGTCTGTGATCAAGTATGGCAAGCCGTACCTCTTTGCAGGTGATCTTCAGATAGCATATGATTATGGTCACGATTATATGAGCGTCGAAAGCAAGATCCATTATGACTTAAACAATCTAGACGATTGGAGCGAAAATTGACAACTAACTTTCAACCCAGACAAGTGCGGTATAGCCCACCTTAGAAGCTGGAAGCCGATAATGTGCCTATAAATGTACAGTAAGCTCCTCTTAAAACTGAACACAGTTACAGACCCTGGGTTAACATATTCAGATTAAACCTTTTCCGATCATGCAAATAAGGTATTATCCGACTGTAAAGAACTTACTGGCTCTGTTCTGTGCTACTTTCACACCCAAGAAGCAAGATCAGCTATACATTAGACACGTATCCGCCACAAACTTGAATATTATGCTCCCCCATTTAGTAACCTAAGGTCTACAGACCGAAAAAATTCGAAAGTGTCCAGAAATTCCTCACGAAACGCATAATAGGGCTTGACCAACAAGTGGAATATGTTGACGAGTATATACCACTGAAACCAGAACCCATATGCTTAACGAGAGTGAAACTCTTGCTTCTACTCTTCAGTCATTAGAAAACGTTGTCACTGTAACTAATCCACAAATATTGAATCATATCAGTGACAAAACCACGGCTACTTTCTCACGGTGGCTACCCTTATAAAAACCATTAGGGTAAACTTTTTCAGCATTAAATATTGCATTATTTGGAACCAACCACCGACTAAAATTAGATGCTGTGAAAACTCTGATGGGCTCAAATAAAGCCTAGAAAGACACATTAACACGCCCACCCTGGCTCGTCTAAAAGACTAAAACTGTTAGTATAATGGTAAACCAAAGATATTCCAGTCTTCGGCTTAGCCAATTACTTCTATTTCAGTCCCGCTGCGTGTGCGGCGAGCATTTAACCACTTTATTGAATTTCTTTCCCCTATAATCTTCAACGAGTGTGGTTAATGTATTTCTGAGAAAAACTATACTAGCAACCGTAGCTTTTGATATTTTACACAGATATTTGTATATAATTAGAAAAATGCACTCTGTATTTTGTGTTGAAATAAATGCCATCAGTCAATAGCTACCCATTTTTATATATTTTTCTGGGATTTATAGTTTTAGAACATTTCGTAGTATTCTCCTATAATATAAGTTGATAAGTTACTTCGCAACGTCTGACGCATGCCATGTAAAACTCGGTCGTGAAAACTGAGCATAACAAGTTCTTCTAACCAGCCGTTTTCCTAGGGATCATTCTAAATAACTTTGTCACTGATTGTTCAACTACTCATTTCACTCTGCTAACCAGATTATAACTTGGTCTTCTGTAGTGCCGACTACTTCTGTGCTACATAATTTTTAAGGGAAACTTAGTTTCCCAGTCGTTTTTGATAACCTATTTATAGAGATGCATGGAATTATAAAGGTAGCACTGTTGAGAATGTACTCATGTATTGATCTTTATGGTGGCCAACTGAGAAGCAATTTTCATGAAAGCTATTAACGTGCAGCATACTGTATGACTGGGATGGGCTCAAATCAGTGCAGTGCTACAACTTCGGTTACTCAAAAAATGCGAGCTTGACTTCAAAATAGGAGGGAGGGTGGAACTTTCTGATCAGCAGATATGGTTGAGGTTATATAATGTGACTCGCTCCAATCTATAGGACAGCAACATGCGTTTTTGAAAGCTCGAGAGTTAAACACAGGTTTAGGTCCTAAGCATACTAGAGAAACAATAATAATTGTAGAGATCTAAATAAAAATCTAAAGTTAATGCTCCTGCTCCTAACATCTACAAGACTGCTCAGCTCCTTGTCACAGTTTGATCCCATGTGCCATACAGAAATTCGTGAGACATCGCACAGGTCAGCAAGTCTTACGGGTTCTCACCACCTAGGTCTTTGAAGATACCTCTCAGTAAACTATCACTAATATACTTCATAATAATTTTTTTATCTAAATACTATTATACTCTATTTCATCTCAAGTATTTAGGTCTTCAGTGAAGCTTTAACTTACTCTTTTCATCTATGTTCTTCGCTCCCTTAAAGTCTGGGTGCTTTGGTGGGAAATGAACACAACTACCGAATAGATGTTTGAACAGAGCTATATTCCCATTGATGGCTTCATAGTTTCCATAGTAAGACCAATATGGTTATCATTACGCACTGGAAATGTGTGTTGTCATTCCAAGGACTCTATAGCTCCCTCTCGCATGTATCTTGCAAATGCACTTTCAGTGATGTATTTGTAAGTGCCGATATCCACCTCTAGATAGCCCTTAACGTCAGCAGTTGCTAAACTCGCTTTCCCCTGTTAACCCCGATCAGTACACCGTTACCTTTTATGCAGTGATGAATGAAGTCAGGGTAGAAGGGTCATGCTCCTTTGTGTGCACACATGAATTATATCCACATAATAAGCGAAAAACTAAAATTAATATGTAGCAGTAGTGTACAAATTACCTGTTAACTGGCTGGGGCAGCAAGCTCGAAGAGTGAGCATAATGATAGCACAGCGAGGGAGTGAGCAACGTGCTAGCATTCAAGCCGGAAGCACATTGAAGGCGCGGCACCAAAGTACAGGAATGCGTCAAAACGAAAGCTTAAATATTCAAGATGCAGTGCAGGTTATCTCTTATTGTATTTTATACCATTTTGCAGTTTTTCTGGACGTCCTTGTCTTACTAAAATAGGTTTTTATCACGTGGGGATATAGCGCTTACCCGAATATTGGATGTCCAATGATTGACCGTCTGTATATGCTGCAAACGGAGGGAAGTCTGGGTCGGCGCTCAAACTTGGTGGCTGCCTTAGTGAACGGTTTATAATTTGACATCTGTACAAACCTGTTCTGATTGCTTATACTATAATTCAAAAATTTATACTTTTGGAAAGGTGCTAATTTATGACATTTCACGATTGTAAAATATAATATATCTGATCCTGGCTTTAAAATGTCGTGCATTTCCTGTAAACTTCCCTGTTTGTACGAAATAATTATTCTCAGTAAAACATCAGCAGGGCAGCGATCACAGCATCAGTTGAAACTGTGGGAAGGATAACTCCTAACTCATGTCTTTGATGCATGCCTGTCACAACTGTCAATTCTGGGGTGGATCAGACTGACTGTGCAGTGTTTATGATTGGACTTCTACGATTGAGAGTTACAGGCTGGAATGATTAGATCACTATATCACTTGCAAAGTAACAAGATTGGTTAAAAAGTGATATTATTGCAATTAGCACATACCCAAAATCATTCATGAAGTAGTAGGATTGGTCAAGAAAGTTAACTCCTCAGACAACCAAGAGCGTTGATGACATTCACTTCGTCAGTCGTGTAAACTACACCATAGGCAATAAGAAGATGCCCTTAATCTAAGGGATTACACTAATAGATTTCCAAGTGATTTGAGGAGAAATTTCGATATCATGATGATGCTCTTGAATGAGGCTTTTGGAGGCTAAGGCTATTGACGTTCCTGGAGAGTACGAAGTATACTAACACAAGATCTAATACCCACAAATCCTTTAGTTTTCGTTATGCGTAGACCAAACGCAAAGAAAAACAATAGAATTGATCGTCCAAATTACGAGCTATATTTCGAGACCAAGTTGGAGTGCGAGATGATTGCCTAACTAACTAGGGATTGTGCATGAACGAACGAACGTAACACGACAGCGTACCAAGTGGCATGGATGCTTGACCGGAAGCCTTCAGCCAAACAGATCTGCTAAAACAGTGAGGGTCAGCATCTGATGTTCAGTGATGGATGCTGTGTCGAGTAATTCTGGGGAATTACCTACTGCCACAGCTCCCAGCTGGTGGGGTTGTGAGGAACCCAAGATAAAACCAGCCGGAATTTAAAACGCTATTGTTTTCCCGTCTGTAAAATCTCTTCCTGTCGGCTTTATGTAGTACCTACTGGTCGTCTACCTATGCTAATAGGGTGTCTGCACGTCGCATCGTTGATGTTTGTCCGTTGGATCTCGTGCTTCGTTTGCTTACTGTCCAGCGCCCGTCACACCTGGTAACGAAAAAAAAGAATGATGACAACCTTATTGAGGAAAATGTACCCAAAAATAACGGTTAAACAACGATATGCATCTACCATACAGAAAAACAATGCGAAAAATAGAACATCTAGAAAACTTTTTTAGTGGATGTGACATGTACGGTAACAAAAAAGACTTTCACTTGTTTCGCGGGGTACAATATAAAAAATTGATGTGTCTGAGAGAAAAAATATACCACAGGCGAATAAAAATTGGGTGAATCGTATCATTTAGTTAAATGATATAGGTGTGAAGATGTTCCGGGGATCTCACTTTCCGCTTAGAACGCGTTTTCTTTGAAGGCTCGATAGAAAGTTTGGTGGCTTTCGCTGAGGTAGTGATTTCTCCGAGGGCTAATAGGTATTCGGTTACTTGTATATTATTGGAAACGCTTAGTTCTGTGCGAATGGGTTTGCCCTCTAAGTAGGCCGGTTTCAGACGGTCAATGCTAACATGGTCTTTGCGACCCTTTTTGTCTAGGACAAAAAAGTTATCCATACGTTTAATAACTTTATTTAGTCCATCATGTGGTGGTTCCAAAAGGCAACGCACAGAGTCACGGCGAACAAATACATGTGAAGAAGTTTTCAAACATGAGTGAACAAAGACATCAATGAAATGTGGTCGAAGGGGAGCAGGTTTAACTGAACGCATTGCGTTTGAAGGCCTGCTGACGTATGAAGTGTGGTCTGCCGCTGGTGGGAAGCTCGAGAAAGAAACAAACTCACCTTGCAGTCGTAGTGTTGTGCCATATAATAACTTGGCGGTAGTACAACCAGCATCGGTTTTCAAGGCGTTTCGTATCACTAGGAGAACTAACGGAAGTGATTCAGTCCAGTGGGTATTGTTTGCAGCTGACAACCCAGCCTTCAACCGTCGGTGCAGACGTTCTACCATACCATTAGTTTGAGGATGGTAGGCTGTTTTTCTAAAACGCATGCAAACTATGATTTTAGCCAAGGCGAAGAATAAGCCACTTTCGAATTGCCGCCTGCGATCAGTTGTTATGGAGGATGGGCATTCAGAGTTTGTGATCCACCATTCGACAAAGACAGGTGCGACCGTTTTAACAGATACATCATTAAGAGGTAATACTTCCGAGTATTGTATGAAACGGTCAATGAAGGTTTAAGTATAGTTATACTCATGTGATTCTTGAAGGGGTCCGAAAAAATGTACATGAACGTGTTTGAGACGAGCATCAGGGATAAGAAAGGTGCCAAGAGGGCTTTTGCTCTGTCTTACTACCTTGCAATTTGGCAAGCTAAGCATATGTGTGTCCATTTCCTTACTTCCTTATAAATACCAAGCCAACTAAACCGATTAGTTACAAGCTTGACGGTAGGTCGAATACCTGGGCAAGATAAACCATGCAACGTATTGCAGATATTATGGCGATAACTCTAAGGCATGATGGGATGTAGGATACTCGTGGAAGTGTCAAATAGAATAGTACCTCTTCCGATACCTAAGGGTTTCTCGGATGATTGCAGAGTTGTTTTCAACAACTCATGTTGAAGCTCGGTGTCTGTTTTTTGAGGACGAGCCAGTTTCACAGGGTCTATGCCGTCTATTTGGGTGGGAGAACAAATGCGCGACAAGGAATCTGCCACAATGTTGTTCACTCAGGATACATGGCGAATATCCGATGTAAACTATGAAGCGTAGCCCAGTTATCGTGCTTCTCCAGGTGTGCGTCGGTGGCACAGTGGTTAGGACTCTCGCCGACCACGCACATGGTCCGAGGTTCGAGCCCCTGCCGACGCGCACCCGATATCTATGGTCGGCCTGAATTTGGGCTACCGATATCCATGCTGAAAATGTCATACTTGTACTGAAAATACGGTGTGGCATCAAGCTGTAATCAAAAATAAAAATAAATAAAATCTGAAGTTGAGTGCAGGGAATAAGTCAGAGGTTTGTGGTAAGTGAAAACTATAAATTCACGACCATCCACTGAATGTCAGAAATGACGTATGGCACAGTACATTGCCGGAAGCTTTATGCCGAACGTGATGTGCTTTGTTTCCGCTAATTGTAGGCACCTCAAGAAAAAGGGCAGTGGTAGCCACTCTCTGTTGACTGGTTGTCACAGAACTGCGCCGATTGTAGTGTCTGGTGCATCAACCGAGGTACTTAACGGTGCCGTTGGATCATGATGCATTAGAAGTGTGGCATCCTTAATAGCTTTTTTAACCTATGTGAAAGCATTTCGAGCAGACTTGTCAAGTTCGATGAACTTGTTATTCCCTCTCTGGATCGGAGAGGCACAGTTAGGAAAAAACCGTCGGTAATAACTTACCAAGCCGTTAAAAGTGCGAGGACTTTTCCTTATTTGTGGCTCTGGAAAGTTCAGTATCGCCTCAGATTTATCAGCCAGTGGGCAAATACCCTTCAGTCAATAGTGTGGCCCAAAATGTCGAGTGAGTCAGTGCCTACACACACACTTTCGAATATAAAAGTCAATCTGGACGAATATAATGGTCACACCATTTAGGCGTTACCTTTCGAATGCGAAGTCCAAGTGCCTAAAGTAAGTTTCCTTCCCTGAACTATCAATGAGCCAGTCGTCTAAAAAATGCGTATACAAAGTCGAGACTGCGAAATACTCCGTCAATGGAGCGGTTTAATTTTTGTGCTGCACTCCAGAGGCCGAATGGTATTTCAAAAATTCTAAAAGTCCGAAAGGTGTGATGATAGCCGTTTTTGGAATAGCCTCTGGGGAATTACCTACCACTACGTCGATATTATTTTCTTGTGAAAACCCGATAAGAATGGCATTCATCCGTTCATTATTCAAGTTTTCGATACATAGTGGACAGACCAAAATGAAGTAATTCCGTTTTATCATCACATATTGATAATATTTAGTAGTAAATGATCATTGTGGACTAGAAAGATATTAGTCACTTCACGTTATCCCGAATATTGGATTTTTGTTGTTTAACGCAATCGAAAGAAATTTTGTTAAGGGACGTTTAGTCTTGAAATCACCTGTGGATATCACTCACTTTAGACAAAAAATATTATCATTTCGCATATGCAGTGCGATTTTACGATTTCGATGAAAGGAATATCCTCCTAGGTAGGTTGTGGCTGCTATATTTGACGTAGGATTATTTGAGACTCTTAAATTGTTAGCCACATCTAAGTTGTTATCAACTGTTATAGGTGTTCGATTACATATCTTTGACTTCCATATTGCTAAATGATGGCTTAGAACTTAAATTCCAAAGATAACTATGGACAGTTGACATGTCTATGCAATATTACTGAATGATAGGGATTTTTATTTACTCATTTGACAGGCCCTTCACAGTTTTTAAAAATATTATTAGCTGTTCAGTGTATCCTATTACAGCATATAAACATCAAATGGTATTTGAGAACTCCACCCAATTTCAGACACTAATTTGTGAAATTCTGTGAGGCAATTTAAGTTGTCCGAAGATATTGTAATCTCAGGTGTATGTTAAAGTATTCTTAAATGGTTTAAACATGTATTATGGTCATGTCGTTAATGTTTAAGTAATAAACGGATAGGCAGTTCAGATTTACTGGGGTTGACGCTCAACTAAAACAGGAACTATATATATATATATATATATACTTTGTTATTTTGTAATAACTCACGTGTGATATATTTCAATGAAGCAAAACTGTATGGTATTAATACTAGTAAGGTTAATACTTCTAATGTATTTAGTGAAATGTTAAGATATGGAAATTATACTATATATGATACTTGAGTTGCTGAGATGGTTTATCTAAGGATTGGCTTTATACAACTAGAATGTCTAATATATACATATATATGTTCATGTTTTTCGATGCGTCAAAAGGATATAAAGACTTTTAGGTTAGACCTTTCTGAATACTTCAAAAATATATATTTGGCACAAAAAATTTTTTTTTCTTGATGCATATGGTAATAAACTCTTTTAAACCTAATAGGCAACCTATTTTATTCTATGCATTGCAGAAATTTCGCAAATGTTAATTAAATTCATTTATTGTTTAATTACTTTACAACAAGATTAGTTGTGAATAAGTTAGAATAAAATTCGGTTCATCACGAAAAGCTTTTTAAACAGGCTGCTAACATACATCAACAACTGCCTTCTCTGGCTTGATACCGGGGATCAGATGGCCAGAAATAATTAGTGGCAACAAACTCAGCGACCGAGACACCCAAGAAACTATTGCTTAACAGCAATTGGGAATAGATCGAACACACACTGAGGATACCATTAGGTGACTTCTTGCTCTAGGCTATTGCTAGAGTGGAACGCAAATAGGAATCGGCGAGTTGAGAGTACGAGGGCGACATGAAGGAGATTGTATTATGAGAGGATGAGGGCGTATGGGCAGTAATGGCGCAAATTAAAGAGAACTGCAGCTAGTAGTAGCCTAAAAGCGAGATAATTTAATAATAAGCTGAAATAAGAATTACCGTTATCTGTTTCTCAGTAGTGTTCTGAAGGCAGGAGTATTTTTTTCATAACCTGTAACAGTGGTTTCACGCTGCATTCTAAACACTACTTTCACATTTTATAAATGATTGAACAGAAATGTATTCTACATTTTAACTTCATTTAGCTCTAAATTATGAAGTGTTTTGTTCTTCCAGGTATCTAGTGGATTGAAGAAAGAACTTAGAAATCTACAAAGCACCTTCCTCAATTTTTAACCGATATTCCTACAAGAGAAAAGTTAAATTTAAACATGTGTGCCCTGGTAAACACTCAAAGGGCTTCTTCTAAGAAAGCAAAAGCCAAAATATTCGAATATTTCTGTAAAGACTTATCAAACACGCTTGAACGTGTTTCTAACTCTTCGGGTACATCAGATGTTATTTTTGTTGTTGGACGAAACATTTATCATGGACACCAAAAAACGCTATCTGTATTCAGTGAAAAATTAAAAAGATGCTTTCAGTTAGAGAATGGGGAGACTGACTACACCCATAACAATGATTGTTTAATTAAAGTGACCCGTTCTGAATCCTCCAATTCCCTGAAAATATTTATTGATGCACCTGTTGATGCTTTTGAAGCAGTATTGAACTACATGTCAACACTGAAGTAAGTTAATTTTTACAACAATAGTGTTTCATAGGGTTTTGTATGTATCCATTGTCAGTATTAGCTTTAAAAGTTTTGTGTGAGGTCTGCCACAGCAATTGTCATGGCTAAAGTGTAGATAGTTGGCATCACTGTGTAATAGTCCAATCTTGCTGCTGTATATCTAAGTAAAAAAAATGACCAGACGCCATCCAAAGCCTTACAAAAGATACACTAAGTAACTAAATAGTCGGTTATGTTTCAGACAGAGATATGCTCCTTTACCAGCCTGAACCATGTGGCCTTCTGTCTCCGAACGTCACTTTATAAAATACAAGGAAGTATTTGATATTTCAAGTGAAGAACAGCGTAGGTAGAACCGACAAACTGACAATTGACAAATAAATTACGCCATAATGCAAGTCAGTCAAATATATTAGACATCCAAGAATTATTCACTAAAGCAAGTGTATGTTTACTGCTTAGTTAAGACCTGGTAATGGCTTTAACTTGGTTCTCGTACATGAATGATTAGGCTCACCAATGTTTCTTACTTCCGTTCTTGGGTATTGTTTTACACTTTTCGAGCTGGTGTTAGTTTGTAGGTGTCATTTTGTTGAATAAAATGGAGATATGCTGTATATACAGTGGTGTTACTGTATCGTGAAGTATGAGAAATCATGTAATCTTGTGGGATAAGTCTACACTGCAGAGTTTTGTGATGGTAATATTGTGTAAGACAGGCTGTCTTACAAAAATTGTTCATTTCTGTCCTACGAAAATTGCAGAGTTGACTGGAGCTACTCATTTAGCATTAGACCGTCCACAGTTCACATTAGGAAAATATCACTGTTAATAATCCATGTGGGTCGAACCCCCTATGTAAATAAAATGCAGTATTATGTTTTGTTCTTCGCTATTACTACTCCTTTGTCTCACACCTGTGTTTACTGTCTATATTATGCATTTCTTCTAATTCCTTCTCTTGCTTTGCGTGCTACATAGATTGTGGCGACTTGAACTGCCGCACATATGTGCAAAGTTCTATGTCGAAAACAGATAGACAGACAGACAGTATTATGGGAGACATTAACCATCTTGGTTTTACTTGGAAATCTTAGATGTGTTGTTGACAACCTTATATTTCAGCAATCCCATCATAATACTGCATACTTACAGACAGTGGTTGGCAGAAGCTATCACAACTCAAACTGGCTTATAAGTTGGCGTACATCTGAGGAATTGTGGAGTTTTAACCTCATTGTCAGTATGTATGATTGCAAACTGAAAAGTTTAGTACCAATATGATGTATAGGATTGATGAACCTAAGAATACTTCTGATAACTGGATTAATATTTCTCTGGTTTATTCAGTGAGTTATTTTCAGCTAACTACCATTATGTAGAATCCTTTTCTTAAAGAAAGAACTTTTCCATTTTTTTGTTAGGTTAACTGTACCTGAGGAACTAATGCCAGCCGTTTATTATATATCAAAAGGTCTACAGATTCCTACTTTGCAAAAAATATGCACTGAATTTTTGATAAACAATTTATCAATTAACTTTGTTGGAGGTAAGATTTTTTGTATTACTCAAGGGCTATTTTGTCATTTCATTTTGTAATTTACGCATTGTGTAGTCGTCTTTTTTGTGCGTGTGCCCATTTTGCATGCTGAGTACAAACTGAACTATAGCAGTAATAGTAGAGTTATTACACTGTTTGCTTTGATGAAGCAAAGCGTAGAGGCATTCATGCATTTTAGAAACTAGTCTGAAGACTGAACCCCTCAAAAGCTGCGAATATCTTAATGTGCTGAATAGTTTTGCAGGTTCATAAAGTTAGCCAGCAAAAGCCGCCAGGGGTTGTATTCCATCCATTTTATAATTTTTTTTGACAATACAAGCTTGGTTGAGTAGGGGCGACAAGGGATGTGCCACACAAAAGCGACAAAACAGCAATATAAAGTAAACAAAAGTAAAATGGTCAGTGGAAACAAGTAGGAGCACTTGCCAACAGGATTTGATTACTTTTTATGTTCGCCATGAGTTTAAACTCTGAATTATTTCTGATAATCTCTGAATCCACTGTGTCTCATGATCCCTTTGACGCTACCACTAGGTTGTGATAAGTCAACAGATGGCAACTTAGCACAAGTACGCTGCCATATCGTGGGCTGATCACCTATCTGCAGTTTCTATTCAGTCCTGCGACTAGTAAATAACAAACAGAATGAAAGCATTTCTAGAGGGATAGCAGTGATCAGACGAGCACAGCAATGGTATATCTTCAATTCAAAGAGGCTGGGTTTCATAGACACACCTGACCCAAACTTCTGATGGCCAGACTAACGTCTCACTGGTGCCAGAGACTGGCATATTACCACTGTGAGTATAAATATACGGTTGAACCTTTATTTGTCACATTTCTATCAGCACTCACAAGTAACTATCCTTTCCTCTACTTCTAACTATCCACTTGCGGGGATAATTGCCAGAACTACTGTACTTTGAGCTGTTCAAGTGTGAAGCACGTACCAGCTGATTAGGTTCTATCTGGGTAGCCAGTGTTGTTGTCTCACCGTAATACAATATCGTCCACATGCTCAAGATCAAGCAGCCTTCTTCAGTTTGCAGATTTAAGCCACTGCGACGCACATTTTTCAGAAGGTTATCGATGACAAGCTGATAGGAAAATAACGAAATCTAGCAACTCTTTTTTATATTGTAAAATTATGGATATCCATAAACTTAATAAGATCACTTCTATCTAACAGAAAATTCCAATGAAAACTTCCATCGAACGAGTCAGCAACAGCTTTGATATGAATAGATACGGTGATTGTTGATCTGTAATAGATATGATAGTGTCCTCGCAACTGATGAGGAGTGAGCACGTAATCGATGCATTCACGACCAGTCTACTCTTCACGAATCAGTTTTTTACGCCCTTTACAAAGTGACTTGGATAAAAAAGAAACAGCCTTTTACTATTGCCAGATGCAGTTGCTGCTCTCATTTCACATACCCTAGACTTCACAATTCTTACATTGGTACATCAATTTTGTGCGTGAGAGCACTACTCAGATCATTATACTATTTGTCCATTGGAATAGGCCGACAGTTATCAAGAATTTGCGAGGGATTTGAAAAATTCAGGTTTTATTTAGTGAGTTTTTCCTCTAAAGCTCTATTAGCTTCACACTGCATGTGTCATGGCTGGTCTTCTTTGAAGTCTGGTCTACAAAAATAGCAGAGCAACGTCAACCGATGCATTCTCATAGTTTCCAGGAGGCTTAAACAGGTTTGTACACCATTTGTTCTGGAGCCCGCGTACATGCACAATGGGTTTTAAATCAGAGTTTCTCAACTTCCATAGATTAACATTCTGTGTCCAGTAATCTGGCAATGGGTGTAGGGCGTTAGCATTCACACATTGACTTTCGTAAGAATACTATGAGGCCGCTCAAAGTCAGTAAATTGAACTTGTCTGTCAGTAGGTATGAAAATGTGATTATATGACAGTATTTTTAGGGGAAGGTTAAAGTTTTCCAATTTTGACATTCCATTAAAAGATTTTTTTATTCAGTTTTTCGATTGCTAAATGCAGATATAACATTAGTTAAATTTAGAACATTTTGACTCATAATTTAGAAATCAATCGTTTTATTTCACAATGCACTAACTTCTCACCGATATAATTTTGATTAATATATGCTTGTAATGCGTATGACATAGAATTAGCCTATACCGATTCGTTAGTATAATATCAAGAAATGTGCCCTAGACCGCTGGTGACAGCTTCCTTGTGTAGTTTGTGCGTTGGTGGCACAGCGGTTAGGACGCTCGCCGGCCATGCACACATGGTTCGGCGTTCGATCCCCGGCCACAGACGCACTCCTTTACCTTGCTAAGTCAGAAATAAAGCTGGTAAAGAGGAAAGGTTGTACATGAGGTTAGCAACCCCATCCCATCCTGTAAAAATAAACACTTCTACAGAAACTTCAAGTCTGTAGCTTGAAGCCTTATGTTCCACTGGGAACATGAAGGAATAAAAAAAAGTACCAATTATGGGGAAGGAATTTTAGGCTATCATGCATTTATTGCCACTCAAACATTCGATTTAAGTTACTCAACTTATTGGTGATTCATACGAAGTTATAAAAATTAGGTTTAAGATTCCCACCATAATTTTTAACAGCTCAAATACTCACCGTCGACTGAAAACAGGTTCTTATGTCATTATATTACTCATAGGGAACACCTTTTATGTATACTCAGCTTTTGAAAAAAATGGAATCACTGTATTATTAAACAAAGCTGTTATTAATGTTCACCGACATATTCCTAGTTCAGAAGTTCGGTAATTATATAACCTATTTTACAGCTAATAGACGGTGAGATATATACTCATCCGGAAGAGACTAAAAGATGCTGTGAAATGCAAAACTCCACGCTCAACAATCTGGATTCAGCAAAAAGCAAGTCATGTGCTGATCAAATCTTCATAAACCTCACTCAACAGTTATGTGATGATAGTACGTGTCAAGTGATTCACAATGGAAAGCTTAGCGAAGACTTTGATGTGAAGACAGAAGTAAGATATGGCTGGATCATGCAGCAAAATATGGGAAGCGAGAAGACAGACATACGTTTGACCAACAAGAAGACTCTAAAAGATTTAGACTTCGCGGGCAATTTATGTCCAGCGTCACACAAACTCGAAAATCTTCAAGACAAAAGACCAACAAGTGTGCACAAGAGGTAGTGGCGACGAAGACAGAACTTCAAGTGAATATAGAGAGGACAGAGGTGATGAGGAAACCCAAACCAACGACAACCACACAAGGAACAATCGCCATCAATGGGACACTTATCTAGACAGCACTCACATGTCAGAATGTTAAAGTCAGGATAGAAGTTAGATACTCATCGTAAATCAATACGAAGGTCTGTTACACTCAGCAGGAAGAAGAGAGAGAGAGAGAGAAAAAAATCAGATTTTCATCACTTATGTCAAATCGGTTCTTCTTTATGGTCCAGAGATATTGGCACGTTACCGAACGCATTTACAAACACGCTTCAGACTTTTATCAACGATGACTGTCGTGACTGTTTGTTGAGAGATTGGTCGGCCAGAAAACATTAACAAAAAGGAACTCCATTGGGCCATATATATTCTTGTTTGGTTCGTTGGTAAAGATGTAGAGAAGGAAGCAGATATGCCCTAGGCATATGCTGAGGAGTGATCACACACCCCAGGTTCATTGGGAGTAGTAATATTATTATGCTCAAACAAACTTACTCAAGGGCACATATTAATGTTTTTTAAAAGTAAGTTCACTAGAAAAGAAACAAGAAAAATCCCTGTACGGGTATCACTGATGCAAATAAAAGTATCAGTATATTGAATTTTCCCATAATTTATTCAGAAGAGAAATAGTTAGAGCGAACAATTGTGGTTTCACAAAACAAATTCCTCTTCTTTTCTTCTTCAGGCTCTACAATTAATTATAAATCCATTAATTTAAGCGTACAATAGCCGCCAACCAGTAAAGACAAATTACAATCATATCAGAAATGTGTATTGTGGAACAAGTATAAGTAAGATGGATGGGATGGAACAATAGTCAGTTAGTTTTTCAATATGCATGGTCAAGGAGAATATCAGATAAACTGAGATGAAATAATTTAACAAAAGTACAGATATTGAGGGTGAATGTATGAGACAATATGAATACTACAGAAAATAAACCAGAGAATGGGGCGGACTAGACATAAGTTCAAGGATGAAACTGACGACAATAATAATAATAATAATAACAATTATTGTGAAGTAATAACGATGATGTGGTGTAAACTTAAAAATACTATTGGTGAATGATTGTCACATAATGACAATAATAATAATGAATTCAGTGAAGTGGAATGAACAGGATTTTCTGAATATGATAACAAGTCAGAAAAGCACTACTTAAAAACCTGAGGTAATAGAAATCATAAGAAAGGTCATGAAATCGTAAAAGATCTGAAATTAACTGCTTTTTTGGAGCTAGTTACAATGACCGTACTCAGAGGGCTTTATCCACGCACCTACGTGAACATGTACCTGTATGGTTGAGTAAAGGAGTAATCGAATGCGTTAACAGTGCAGTCGTATCCCACTTGGTAGATACTGGATACTCGATAAAACCTAACCAAGCGTTCTCAGTTATTTATCACGTTCCTGCTAATCTACCTACAGGAGCTCGACTATGTCTTCTATCAGTAGCTGAAGTCGTAGCAATCAATACCAGATGACCAGCTGATTGCATACAGAAGAAGTATGTTCAATCGCTATGTTTATCTTGGCCTACATTAAGGTCGACAAATCATCCATAAACATTAGGACTTTATATTCCCATCACAATATTTTTCTATTCTTCTATGCCTTTGTTTCATTGACAAGGGTTCATTTCTGACCTTTTACGATTCCATGACCTTTCTTATGATTTCCATTAACTTAGGTTTTTAAATAGTGCTTTTCTAACTTGTTATCATAACTACAAAGTCCTGTTTATTTCACTTCACTAAATTATTATTGTCTGATAATCATTCACCAATAGTACTTTTAAGTTTACACCACATGATCATTATTAGTTCAAATCATTGTTATTATTATTGTCGTTATCTTCACCCTTGAACTTATGTCTAGTCCATCCCATCCATTGGTTTATTTTCTGTAGTATTCATATTGTCTCTCACACACACACACGCACCAGTGATTACACCCACTCTCGAAATCTGTACTTTTGTTGACTATATTTATCTATGTGTACATATACGCATATTATTAAATTAAATTATTTCATCTCATATTCTCATTGACCATGCATACTCAAAACTAACTGACTATTGTTCCATCCCATCCATCTTCTTTATATTAGTTCCACAATACACATTTCTGATATGATTGTAATTTGCCTTTACTGGTTGGCGGTTATTGTATGGCATTAATTAATGGATTTATAATTAACGGTACAGTCTGAAGAAGAATTTATTTTGTGAAACCACAATTGTTCACTCTAACAGTTTTTTCTTCTCACTATCGGTATGTGTTGTTAAATTGAATCTAGCTAGACACGTCGTTTTTATCTATAATATATATAAATAGCACCAAAATGAATGTCAGGCATCTTACAGAATGATGAAAAATGACTATAGTGTTTGCATCACTACACCAGTAGTCCAAAAATAGTAATAATAAATACGTATTCAGCTTCTGAGACATGTGATCAGACTGTTTTTTTCCTTTCTTTTCTTTTCTGCATGATGTTCATGTAGGAAATAGTTGTGAAGACTTCGCTCTCTCTGTATTACTATTTTTCATTTGTAGGCGTGTATTATTATTATTAGAATGTCTCAAATTCATGTCTGTCAAAGTAAGCTTTACAATGACGAATTGATAAAGACGTGTGTGTACACACGATTGTGGCTTAAGTTATTATATGAAATCATCTACTTAACAATTCTATTATGCTTTAAATGTGTGTTATTCGAAATATTTGACTATACTCCATTTTTCTATATTTATTTTCATAAAACGGGGTTTGTGTATGGCATGTAAAATGCCTTGATAAATAAATATATGTGGCTTGCTACACATCACTCAAAACCTGGAGAGTGAGAGTCCTTCTGATTTTTGCTTTGATCCTTTACGTTCCCAGTTTCGGTAGCAGTGGTGTTAATTTTCACGGGATGGGTTTGCTAGCCTCATGACCACGAACCTTTCCTCTTTACCAGTCTTAATCCTGGCTTAGCGAGGTTTTGGGAGTGCGTCCGTGGCCGGGGATTGAACCCTGAACCAAATGAGGAGTGGTTGGCGAGCATTCGGCTGCTGTGCTGCCGATGCACGCAAGACCTGGGCGTACTGGACAGCTGTTTCGTCCTAGTGCTTGGGGCTCTTCATCAGTACGCACCCACCACAGTGGTTCGAACCCAGGATCTTCTGGTTACAAGGTGGGCTAGCTCGTAGACCATTAAGTCACTGGGGCAACATAGATTTGTAAAATATAAAGTAACTAAATTCTGTTAGTCAGTTGGCATTTATTTCAGTTTTGTAGTTGGTAGTAACACACTTGATGAATGTAGCGACGTTAATGATAACTAAGTCATATATAAAATACCTTGGAATAGTTCTATCTTCTGACCTCTCTTGGGCACCCTACATCCTGTCGATTTCTAAGAAAATATGTCATCTAACCTTCTACATTAAGAAATTAAGGCAATCTGGAATCACTCACACCTCTACTTTTACAGTTTGTCAACTTTTGTATCTCACCTGTTGTACTTCACTGCTCCACCTTAGTCTTACCTGGGCTACTTAAAAATGACCGTGTCATACTGCGCATGGTATTTAAAGATTTTCATTAGGGCCAGTAGTGTGCTACTAAGTCAGCTAGTTACTACTGTAATCGATAGACACCCGAACTCATATGAGAAATGATCTGAATCTATGTTATCTGACTCTCAACATACCCTCTGTTCTCAACTCTCCCCCTGCATCTCATCGGGTATGAGGACTACAGGTCATTATAAAATATTATATGCTCGTACTACCAAGTAAAGGAACACAACAATACCATATTTGGTCCACGTTCTATGTAATAGAGATAGTGTTAAGCGCGAAACCTACGACTTACTATGCTATTAGCAAAATAATTGACTCTTTTATTCTCTCCTATTTATAATCTATGGTGACATTATCTCAGCTAACTTATAATTTTAGCTATTAACATTGTTATCATTACTTTACACCTTTTATACATTTCCGACTTTATTGTCACTGTAAATACCTAAATAGCTGCTATTATCAACACTACAATATTATCATCTTAAGTGCTGTTTTGAAATAAAGCAAATCATTGTTATTATTCCTTTGCAAAGATATCTACAGAATCTTAGGTGATATAACAATACCGACTGACTGAGTGAGTGAGTTTCAGCGGTAGGACTTCGCACAACAAGTGCAGCAATTCTAATTGTCACACTCCATGTAACAAATGAACGTAGACAAAATAAAGAAAACAAAGAGATATAAAGGAATTACAATAAGCGAAATGGTGAGGAAGGAAGAAATAGGACTGTTTAGTGGATATAGGGGATCACACACAGAGTGAATGTATCTGCGCCATCGTGAACGATTCTGAGCCATATTACCAGCTGTCTCTAACCAGTAGTGGTTCTTGGTATCTCGACGACCTCAACCAGGCAACCTACACCTACCTACCTACCTGCCTACGGGACTTACCATACCAGTTGTCAAAGACTTCGTTGATTGATGCTAGGTTCCAGCCGGACCACTCCTAACTATTTTCCAGCTTAATCCTATGTCGGTTAAAACTATCCGTCTGGGAAGAAAGTGACTCGGTATGTGCAATACGTGTGTCCCAGCCACCTTAATCGATGTAGCTCCACAGCCTTATCGATTAACTTCCTTCCCCTACCTAGTATTCTATGCCTTACCTAAACATTACTCGTCATATTATTTCCCACTTAACACTAGGGATAGATCGCGAATATTTATAGTCAATGTCAACAAGCCTTTTCATATATCTTCCACTTTCAAGGACAGAAGACAAGGCTAGTTTATGTCAGTGAAAACAGTTCAGTTTATTATATAAAAATGCATTGCATGTAAGTAATATCAAGGTTATTAAATATAAACCAACAAATAACAAGTATAGTGATTGGAAAGGTCACGCTTCTAGGTTTTCCAATCACATTATAATAAATATTCTGCATCGGCCCAACAGTTTAATTTATTTAGATTAGTTTAAGCCTGAGATTAAGAGTCTCGTGCTCTACCTACTGAGCTAGCCGGGCATAGTGGTTATGACGCTCGCCAACCATTCACATGGTCCGAGGTTCGATCCCCGGCCACAGACGCACTCCTTTACCTCGCTAAGCCAGAAATAATGCTGGTGAAGAGGAAAGGTTGGTCATGAGGCTAGCAACCCCATCCTGTAAAAGAAACACTGCTACAGAAACTTCAAGCCACTAACTTGAAGCCCTATCTTCCACTGGGAACGTGAAGGAAAAAAAGTTTAAGCCTCTTCAAGCTAGTTTTAGCCGTTTTATATCAGTATTATGGCAGTATACAACTTTTCTGAAGTTTAATTCGATTCTCTGAGTCTTTTTTGGCTGTTACAAGATAGATCAGCTTTGTGTGTGTGTGTTTGAAATTCTATAGACAGACTTTGTCATCGTTAAGACTTCCAGTTTCCTGCAGCATAGTTAACCACTTCTGTTACTCTCGAATAACACAAAACAAAGTGGCCATTTATTCTGTAACACTGAGATACGTTAACTCAAACAGATTATATCAGAACATTTAAAAAAGTGCATCAGTTCATCAAGTTGTGTCATATTTTAGACCAGTATGCACTGAATTTCTGTTTTGTAACATTCAGCCATATTTCCTTACCGCCTCGAGGATAGAAACAATGTGGCGAAGTTAAACAATAACGTCCCAGGAGTGCGAACACTCCAATGACCTTGAACACATGCTAGTCGTTGGCTAACAGCACTTGTCATTATCATAGCTGAAACATCAATGTTATTCACCAACTAAGGAGCAAATTTCACTTAGATCACGTTTTTAAGTACTGTTTAAACAAGATTAGTGCTAGTGTCAAGTTTAAGGTTACGATTAGGGATAGATTTAGAGTTGATGTCATTCATTTCAATTTGTTTTATTATCCACATTTCCCTGGTAAGTAGTCGTCGATCCTCTTACTTGGAACCATAGTAATCCAACCGAGGGCTTTTCGGGAAGACTGCATAACAGGAGAAGAGAGATAAACGATTCACAAAAACAGCTCATCTTTATTCATCTCGGTGAATACTTGTACAGAAACTAGTTCAACATAGCAACTGATAGTCTCCATCATAACTGGGACATATTTTTAAGTCATGTCAGAGAAAGATACCATGTTTAATCTGTTTTCATGCATTTTCTTGTACATATACGTCAGTTTTTGTGCAAAACTTCCTCATTTTCTTCATTGATCGGCTAAAGGTCAGTCGTGCGTTCTCATGTCTTGAGACCTGAACTTTGCCAACAATATAATTTAGAGTATCCGGGAGAGTCGATCTCAGTACCCCTCGCATGGTAAGCAAGCGTTCTACCAATTGACCTAGTACCCCGTGCTCATTGGCCTAGGTACTGGACTTGCAACCAAGTGGGTCGCGGGTTCGAACCCCGCTGTACTTCCTGAGGTTTGGACAGCCAGGTAGTATCATTAGCTAGCTCTTACATTTTATGGAACTGCAAATGGCTGTTAAGTAACATGTTGTGTATTTTTGAGCCATATTTTTCAGTTTAAGTTTTTAGGTAGTTACATTTATGTAGGTAACACACGTGGTGTACTTTGACAGAACCAGCCAAAAAAGAAGTGTTTTTTTGTAAACGAATTTATTTAACTTGTATGTATGTGTATGTTTTACTATTTCTCTTATAGTTCTTTGTCGTTTTGTTCAATTCAATGGACTTTATACAAAGAGTAATGAATACGCGAATAATAGTGATGAACTTTGCCTATCTGAAATATGCTTAGCCAAATCCCTGCATCACTATCTGTTAACAGAAGCGGATAAAATAGCCTGTTCTCAAACAGGTATTCTCAGTGCTCGTCTTATAGTCAATCTTACGGGGAATTTTAATTCATCAGAAGATCAAGCCAAGTGTCAAGAACCGTCTAGTGAATATCTGGCCTTTGGTGTTTTACGTTGGGCATTTGAAAGACTATTGACGGGTGAGAGGCTGGCAAGAGCTGGAAGTGATGATAATGTCTATTCAGATGATGAAGAAAGTGATGGGAATAGTAGCAGTCATGCCGGGGAGAGCAGTAGTACATCACAGCGTAAACGTGCTGGTAGTCATTTCCAGTTTTTGGCTCAAAAAAATTTGCTCAGTGGGTCTCGTTCAAAGAATGGTGGTTGCGGTGGTGTTGGTGGTGGTATGTCAACGCCTCAAGATGATTTCATCTCTGATGAAGATGATGCTGATGCAGAAGTGGAAGTGGAAGAGCGTGCCTGTATTTCAAATAATCTGGATCCATTACGGTTTTTCAGTACACAAGATATACGCGTAAGTTTTTAGGCCTGTTTTGAAACTTCAGTTAACAGCTGAATGTTGTATTGATACGTGTATCCTGTTGGTTTTAAGTATTCACTGCGCACTGTGTTCTGTTCTGCTATATAGATTCCAGAATACCATTTCACTGTGCGTCGGTGGCATAGTGGTCAGAACGCTCGCCGACCATGCACATGGTCCGGGGCTTCGATACCCGGTCACAGACGCACTCCTTTACCTCGCTAAGTCAGAGGTAATGCTGGTGAAGAGGAAAGGTTGGGCATAAGGCTAGCAACCCCATCCTATAAAATAAACACTGCTACAGAAACTCCAAGCCACTAGCTTGAAGCCCTATGTTCCACTGGGGAACGTGAAGGAAAAAAAGGTTCGAAAGAAAGTGACTATATTTATCACGTGGCTTCTTAGTTTTGCGTTATCAATAATTGCTCAGTCTTAAGACCAAACAGTTTGGTTCCAGTTGTAGAAAATGATTCAATTGATGAGACTGTAAATTAATCATAATAATATTTGAATTAGAAAGCGAATAATAACGGTCTAGAGTATTTACACAGAACTCAGCATAGAAACTGATTAGGATTTACCAAGTTAGCCTTTTTTCGTCGAATCTGATCCGTGATCTATGGAAATAGACAGAAAACAGATTTTCCAATTAGTGTCCACTGGGTTATTGTCTTCTTACTGTCGAGTTTAATAGCTGATTGGTATCACTTAGAAAACCATTAAAAACCAGGGTTACTAGTCAGATGTTTCGTCCCAGCCTGAGACTCTTCATAGGTAGGTACACACGTATCACCCTATCGGAGAGTGAATTCAGGACCTTCAGGTTACGACGTGGTGAGTGCGTTGACGATTCAACTACTGAGCTGGAATTCAAAGGCCCATGAATTCTAACTTCTGTGAATTTGTATTGTATAACACTACCGCTAGCTCTAATGTCATTAGTGAGTATTTGTTCTCATACCCGACCTGTTGAACCCTACTGGTCACGGCTTCTCACTAGCACTGCAGGCAACTGCGTCTTATAAAGTCAGCCATTAGTGTGCACCAGATTAATTTTCAGCAGGAATACAAAATGCCTGTTTAGTTTATATTTTACACGAATACTGATATAAAGTGAAAAAGACCCTTGGGTGGTTCCGTGTGGAATATAGAACTTCAACTGTACACCTCCATTTTGTCCTATTCTCTGGAGTCCTCTTTAGCTAGACCCCACGACTGCCCACAATCTCTCATTTCCTCCTAACAGGACCTCCTCCATGTCATACTCGGAAACACACCCAACTCGTCGTTTCCCATTAGGGTTTCAGTCAAGGAATGCGCGCAATGTCAATCTACGGTCTCCTCAGCGTGTGTCAAATCCCTTTCCATTTCGTTTGAGATATTTGTTGAGCAATAGGTTCTTGGTACATCGTCGAAGCATCTGCACAAGAAGCTGACATGTCAATCTGAGACCGAGCACTTCGGTCCAATCAATCGACGGGAAAATCTAAAATTGAATTGAATAATTAAATATGACCCGTTGCACAAGAGGTGGCTCTCGTGGCTCAAGTGGTCTGGTGGATAACGCTCGGGCGTTTGAAACTATGGGCACTGGGTTCGAGCCTCGGTGGGAACATCACCACTCACTGGGGAATGCAGGTACATCCAGGTGGCAGACGAGTACCAAATAGGACGAAGTGCCCGTCCTGGTGGATATCACTGCTAGTCACCATCCACCAATTGAATTCTTGGTTGTTTTGTTCTGATAGTTTCTTGTTGCTGATTCTTTCTGGCTAGGCCTTTGATTTGGAATATGGAGCCAGCGAAGGTGGCAGCTGTTGATATAAGTCTGCCTTAGCCTGTCGGAAATGCTTTTCGTGACAGTTAAGCCAAGTTTCTGACCCATAAATTTCACTTCAGTGGCACATGTCCTAAAACTGGAACGATATAGAGAAGATTAGCATGGCCTCTGCGCAAGGAGGACACGCGAAGTCGTGAAGTGCCCCATACTCTTTGGGTCCCAGTGGCTGAATGGTCTATGAGTGCACCTTGTAACCGGAAGGTACTGGGTTCCAATCCCGGTGGGTTCGTACTGCCAGTGAGTAGTCCAAGACTAGGACAAAGCAACTCTCCAGTACTCCCTGGGTTTTTACCTCTCCTAGTTTACTAACTCGCTAATTTTCCAGCCGGTTTGAAGCCCGGGAAAATAAGAGGGAGTTTGGCGTAGGGTTAGTGACCTCAAACCGGGACAATCAATCAAGCTACTACGAAAACTTCAAAGTACACGGAAAATTTTAAAAATATCAACTACAGATAGTAATCTGTCTGTATTCTACATAAAACTTTGCACCGATGTGCGGAAGTTCAAGTCGCCACACTCCATGTAGCACACAAAGCAAGAGAAGAAAATAGGAGAAATGCATAACATAGACAGTAAACAGAGGTGTGAGACAAAAGTATAGTAATAACGAAGAACAAAACAGTTTAATCGGAAATCATAAGTCACAAGGAGTGGATGCATCTACGCCAGCCATCGAGAACGAGGATTTTGAGCCATGTCACCAATTGTTTCCAACCATTGGTTTTTACCGTCCTAAGGACCCCAACCAGTCAGGAAGTCTACACATTCATACGTGGCGTAGACTAACTGATTTCGATTTCATTGACTGGTGCCATGTTTTGGTTTGACCACCACTGTCTCTTTTCCAACCTGACCCTATATCAGCTAACATTGACCATCGAGGAAGGCAATGACTAGGCATACACAACACATGTCCTAACCATCTCAGTCGATGTAATTTCACAACCTCGTCTATTGATTTCCCCTCCTTACCTAGCACTCGACTGAGGCCTAAGCCTATTTTCCGCTTAACACGGGAGATAGAGCGCAGGCACCTATGATCAAAGACAGCTAATCTTTTCATGTCTTCCACTCTCAATGGCCATGTCTCACAGCTAGCCATAAAGGAGGACGGAGTGGACTGGTGAGCAGTACACCCGCCCGTTGATAGTAATGGCCGATTATTATTATTACATTTCTTCAGTATGTCATAAATCAACTCATGATACTATGGTTGATGTTTCCCACTTAAATTAGTTTTCTATTGGACAGCCTGTGGATAGCCATTTCATTATCTGTTAACACTTATATTTAACTCTGTGTTGAGTTACACTTTTGTGTCATTTTTCTTACCTGTCACTTGATTAATATATGATTGATTGATCCCCGAAAGGTAGCAAAAAAAATGTAATTTTTATAGGTTTAATGTCGCCTAGTTTGGGCCAGAACGCAATGATAATCCCACCCTTAGAAAAACATTGTTTCATGGGAAAAAGTAGTATGGGGAAGATGAAATTACAGGTTCGAATATTGAGAGAGCAACAGAGAGAGAGAAAGCGAGTGCAGTATAATTGGATAATGGTCATTGAGATGAGGTAATTCAAACTATTTGTATTTTTCATCTTTAGACATGAATTTCGAAGTGTTAACAATAACCACCAGAGTAAAGAAAACGGTCAGCTTATTTGTAGAAGCAGTCTGAAATGAAATTCCATTGGCTGATCACTAATCAGTCTATTAAAAATAAAATGGTACCATCATTGTTTATTTCGTTGGCTTCTCATCAGCTCAGCTGCTTGCAGGCCAGAGACATTATTAAGTTTATGAATAGAAAAAATTTTAATATACTTACTTATGCTCCATGGAGAAATGAGAGGAAGAGTTTATGTTTCTCGAAAAGATGTTGAAAAGCAACGGTATCCCTCAAAGGTTCATTAACAACAAGTACGGAAGATCTGAAGGCTCAAATGTCAAGCAAATCACGGTGGAGAAAAAGCCCACCTACATTCAACTTGATTATAAAGGTGAAAATATTACAGCAATTGTCAACAGAAGATTGAGAACGTCGTTGGACAGAGCCTAACCTACAGCTAGCTAAGTTGGTTTCCGTCTATCGAACAACTTACTCTTTGGTGCAATCAAAAATCGATAGATATCCTTCTCATGTTAACTCCAACTGTATATACGAATTTACGTGTATCTGCGGGAGCAGTTAAATTGGAAGAACATAGAGAAAGGCATACCTCCAATTTTCTGAACATGTACCAAAAAGCCTATGTCTAAAGGGAACAAATGCTTTAAACGGTACCATCACCAGGCATCTCCTTAACACGGGTCATTAGGTAAACGTCGCAAGATCGTTCAAAATTATCAAGAGGTAAAAGAGTTCAATTCTCCTTAAGTTTGCTGAAGCGATCTCCATCAATCGCCTGAAACCTGATTTATGTATTCAGAAAGAAGTGGTTATCAGTCTTTCCTTGCTCTGGTAACTGGATATTTTCACCCTCTCTTTCATCTGAGTACGCAATGTCGAAAGTTCCCATTGTGTGTGATCATTATTGTTCGCAATAAAGTGTTTATTATTACATACATTATTATTGTATGCATATATTGATTTTTTTGCTTATAATTCAACTTTGTTGAAGTATATCAAAAATTTTTTTCTATTCATAAACTTAATAATGTCTTTGGCCTATAAGCATCTGAGCTGATGAGAAGCCAACGAAATAAACAATGATGGTACCATTTTTATTCCACAAAAAGTGTTGTTCTTGCTTTATTCAAATTTATTAAGGGGAATAAATGTATGCAAAGAAGTATCTAGTTCATAGACTTCATTCAATAATCTTTTGAATAGTGTAAAAGGCATTATATATTGCCTAACACACTCAGTAATTGATGTGTAGACACGTGCGTTCCAAAACGTTTCTTTGAATTTAATGCGAAGTCAGTTCACACTTGCTGTAGAACACAATGACACTGAGTATTATTTACTGATGACGTTTCACGCACACCTTATTACAGCTAACTGAAGGTCTAGCTGACTGCATAAATCTTGGCAAGCAGAAGTCGAGTGTTTCGATCAATAAGCCACAGCTCCACCCGCTGCTAATCTTTTCAACTTCATACGATAATGAGCGATATTTGTCATTATAATTATGGAGTTAGAAACGTCATCTGTGAATAGTACTATATCATTCTGTACTGTATAGAATGACTCTGTCTGTTCAAGGAACCATAGTATTCTGTTTTTATAAAGTTAGTATGCCTTCATGATAAACGAGGGCACCTGTAGCTGGTTTCTTTTAAAAACAATAGTAACTATGCTCTTTTACACAATGAATTCTAGTGATATCACTAGTTAGTATTATTATTTATTATTATTTCCTTTAATTCCTAGAGGAACATAGGGCTTCAGCCGCGTGTCTTCATTGCGTTCGGTTCTCTGCTAGAGTTTTCACCTGGCTCCAAGTCTGCCCAGATACTTTCATCTCCTCTTCACATGACCTCCTCCAAGTCACCCTCGCACTGACGACCAACTCGCCGCTTCCCTTTCGGGTTCCACTCAAGGGCTTGTCTAGTGATGTCACTTGATGGTTTCCTCAGAGCATGGCTAATCAGTCCACCTCCATTTCTTCCTGCATATTTGTTGCACAATCGGTTCCTGGTTGGTTTGCTCCCACAGGTCCCTATTGCTGATCTTTTCTGGCCATCTGATCTTGAGTAGTATTGAGCGAAGACAGCTATTGATGAAGGTCTGTAGTTTGTTCGAAGTGCTCTTCGTAACGAGTTGGCCAAGTCACTGATCCGTATAGTAGCACTGACTTCTTTACATTGGAGTTGAAAATCCAGATCTTATTTTTGATTCTGAGTGCTGTTGATCTCCACACAGACTTGAGAGTAATGAAAGCTTGTCTTGCTTTCCCGATCCTTGCTTTGATATCCTCGTCAGTTCCCCCTGTAGTTGAAACGATGCTTCTCAGGTATGTGGGTAAAGGAGGTTGTTTCTTTCAGGTTCCTCCCATTCATGCTGATTGTTGTCTGTTGTTGTTGTTGTTCAGGAATCTTCATTATCTCTGTTTTCTCTATGTTTACCTGAATTCCTGTCTGGAAAGTATTAGATTATTATTATTATTCATATAAAAGGGTAAATACTAATTCATGTATCGGAATGCTATTACCGATATAGAATCCCTCTTTTTCTCTCTCAGTCGACTTCTATTAGTGTCATCTAGGAGTATAGTACCATGCTAGCTTTAGCTATCCTTAGTCTATATAACGATCATTTTATGTATATATTTTTTGCATTTATTTTCTTCTTTTTTTTAAAATATAATTTTTCAGATTTCTTTGGATATAAATGATTTGCTTTTGGGTAAAGAGGAAAATTGCAGAAGCAAAGTTGGGTCACAGGTAAGAGAGAGAGAGAGAGTGATAGAGTACTGTTGTCATTTGAGTGTTTGTATTAATATGAAGCATTTTGATTTAATTACGATTGAACATTAATAAAATCCTTTGAGTTCAGAGAGGAATATATAGGGCTTCAAGCTCTAAGCTTTGAAATTTCAGAAGCATCTGTGGTGTTGTATTTTTACTGGGTGGGATTGCTAGGTTCTAGTCCAAACTTACCTCTTCTCCCTTTCCTGTCCTATTAAGGGTTAGTTGAGGTTGAAGAGTGCCCCAATCGGGAATCGAACATGGACGGCATGCACTGTTGGTGGCCATCTTACTCCTGAACCACCGATATTAAATATGAGGTTTTATTACTTCGCACAGATCCTTCACCTACTACTGTTATTATTGTATTTTTCGTTTTATGTTTTCCAAGTGGAACATATAGCTAAAGAAGTACATCGTCATTGTACCCTTTTCTCTACCGTCCTTCTTAACTGTGTCCAGAGCCTCCCAAAAGGCTTCCATTTCTTTTTCACATACATGACACCTTCCGTGTCACCCTTGGGCTCATGGCCAACTTGTTTTCTCCCATTCAGATTCCACTAGAGGTTTCTTCAACATTTTCCCAATCCATCTACATTTCCTTCTGCTCATTTTATGGAGAATAAGTGCATGGCTTGTTCATTGTCAGAGATTTTTTTACGTATCATTTTCGGCCAGCCATCTGGTATTTAGTATGAAGTGCAGAGGCATCTTTTTGGTGAAAGCATGCAGTAGCCTGTTAGTTGTGCTTTTGATTCTCTGCCTACTTCCGCTAATAAATAACTGAAATTTCTTCTATTTGCGTTTGTCTAATGGCCTGTATACACTGTATTACGTAATTAAGTGGCTTTTAAGCTTAAAAAGTGTGTATTAGTGGTCCTTCGTAAATGCTCATGTAGTAACATATGTTGAATCATACTGTACCGACAGAAGACAAGTTAATTGGTAATGTATGTATGTAGTTGCAATTTGCTATGCACATATACGGAAATTATGTATACCATAGATCTTCCGTGTTGTACCCTTCGTAGTGTGTTTCTTTGTCTTCTTCTTTTTGTGTCTCCCATACTTTGCCGCAATACTGATTCATCATTTCCTCTCTTTGACGTCAAATCTATCTCTCCATTATTTGATAGTTTTGTGTGCCGATGAACGTTTCTTAATATACTACTGCTGATAAATTTTGTCAGTAGTACATATCACGATACCACTACATACTTCGAATTGGTGGGATGACATTAACATCACTTACAGTAGATTAACACATTATAGTAGACGACAACAAGAACGCGGAACGGGAATAGAAATAATGAAGAACAATACGAGAGTGATGCATAAGAAGCATCTGTATACCTGTAAACTGTATTCGCATAAAGTGTCTCACCAATACTTCTGCTAGTATTACGTCAGAGTGATTGTATATTCTTTGCATTATTATTGTTCTCTTGGATTCCGAGTGGAACATAGTGCTTCAACAACACATCTCCACTTTGTTTTATTCTCTGCGGTCCTCTTTAACTAGGTTCACGACTGTCCACAATCTCGCATCTCCTCTTCTCAGGATCTCCTCCATGTCACCCTCAGAAATACGCCAAACTCGTCGTTTCCCATTCGGACTCCAATGGAGCGGTTTTATCCGGCGGTCTTCTCAGCGTGTGTCAGATCCATCTCCTCTTTCTTCGTCACATTTGTTGAGCGATAGGTTTTTGACTGGTTCGTTCACATAGTTTCTTGTTGCTAATTCTTTCTGACCAGCCATTTGATCTTCAATATGTGGACCTGTGGTGGTGTGATACAGACAATGTGTGCCAATGGAATAGTATTCTCACATATTCCCACAGTTCATTTCGGCATTAGCAAGAGAATACTATGTATATTTGACCATTCTATTTCACGTCGTTTAATGTAAACCGAAATCACACGCTCAGTGATTGGTTAAAGAATATAAACTGTACAAATATATAAACAGCGGTTCGATCAATGGAAAATATACCTTTGGCTTCCGTGTCTTGTCTTCTGTTGTCAGAGAGCCAGCGAAGATGGCAGCTGTTGGTAAAAGTTCGCAGTAGCCTGTTGGAAATACTTTTCGTGATGTTTACGGCCAAGTTTCAGAAGAAATGACTGACTTAACATGGGTGTTTGTCATTCCGATTCTAGATTTGACATCTTCATCGGTACTGTCGCCTGTGGTTAAAGGTGAGGGAAGTGACCTCTTTTCTTGCATACAGATGCAATAATGCTCTATTGCATATTCACCATGCATGGAACGCTTACCATTTTAGTTAAAAATTGATAAATATTGCATTCAGTAAAACGGAAGAATTATGTGTACTCAAATAGTCACATTCAGTTCTTTAACGATGAGGTTAAAAAAAATCAATCTTTGCACTGGCTTCAATAACTAGTGTTCGCTTTTTTTCATCTGGTCGCGTTTACTGAGCTGGGTAGTTCAATTGCAAAGCTTTCATTATTGTCCTTTTTGATAAATTCTTTAGCGCAAACTTTAATATGAAGTAAAATTATTTGAAATCTCCACGTGAATAATATAATTGTATCGCTTGATAATCTACATCGTGATTGGTTGTTAGTTTGCATCATTATTATTGATCGTTTTTATTGATTTAGAATTCGACTCTTTCGTCATGTGGCTTATTTTTTATTAGTTGATAAATTTGATCTATAATAATGTGTGTATGTGTGTGTGTGCGTCTGTTGATCACTGATCATCCGTTTGAGTATCAGGCTTCTCGGAATCCTCTGGCTTTTTTGGTGTTTCTATTGTCGACAATTTCTACATTTTCCCCAGTCAAATCGATGTCCGCAGTTGTTTATTATACATCAGTATGAAGAAATGCATGTTGTTTTATTTTTAATACTTAGTCCATGTTTTCGGAACAAGAGTTGATCAAAGTCCATACAATTTTTTGTTGTTGATGATGCTGATATCTTGTTGGTTTGTGTGCCGAGATCTATTCCGAATTCCACCATTATTTCAGGAACATTCTTTATTTATATGGTAGGATGAATTTTCTTATAACTTTGGAGGATGGGTTCTTGCTGGTGATAGTTTGGTTCGAGTTTAGACATATTTTGTTGTTGACGTAATTGTATCCATTTCTTCTGCTCTCCTTAGGAATGGAGCGCTTCAATGTCCTTTAAACTGTTCTAAACAATCTTTGCATACAGTTTCTCTCGTGTGCTATCGGATAATTGCTGTTGTTATTGTTGTTGTAGTCGAGTATTTGGCCTTTGTGGATTGATTCGCTGTATACCTGTATTGTTGTTGTTGTTCCCTTGCGTTCGGTGTGAAACATATGGCTTCAAAAACACATCTCCACTTAGTTCTATTTCCCGCTGTCCTCTTCAACTGGGTTCACGATTGTCCCGTCTCTCTCTCGTGTCTCTTCCTCACACGATCTCCTCCATGTCACCCTCGCACCGACGACCCACTCGTCGCTTCCCATTGAGATTCAGCTCGAGCGATGGCCTGCATTGCGCGCGACGTCATTCGATGGCCTCCTCAATGTATGCCCCACCAGTTCATCTTCATTTTCTCCTACAAATTTGTTGAGCAATCGGCTCTCGCCTGTTGGCTGGTTCCCACAGTTTCTTGTTACCAATTCTTTCTGCATTAAATGTACAAATACATCAACCCATATATATATATATATTCAAGTATTGGTTATGTCGTGAATTGGCAGAAGTTAGAATTCAAGGAACATTGGATCAGGTCCCAGCGGCTCAATGGCCTACGAGCTCGCCTTGTAACTAGAAGGTCCTGTGTTCGAACCCCGGCGAGTGCGTACTGATGAAGAGTCCCAAGCTAGAACGAAACAACTGTCCAGTACTCCCTGCAGGTTTTCCAGTGGTTCTCTAACTGATGTCAGCTCATGATGAAACCCTCCATGCAATATATATATTCCTTGCACTGAAACACTCACTATTTAACTATTCGATTAACATGGCGTAGTTTCCAGTATTTTCTACTTACTGTCAGTTATGTTTATGCTATTCAAACGCGAGTTAAATACTTAATTCACCTTGTACATGTGGAGCATGTGGAGCTAACGATTCAACTACTCACACTCCATATTCTCCCAATAATTCATACTTGTAATTTAATTCTATAAGGTTCCACATCTCTCTCTATACTACTACTATAGAATAAAAGAATTTCTCACCAATCAGAGACGTGTATACACGCCTTAGCCTAGTTATTGGATGGAAGTATTGAACGTGTTTTGTTTACGCCTTTCCTCTCGTCTGTATAGAGGGTGGAAAAACAAAAAGAAGATTATATCTAACAGAATGACTCGTTTCGAATAATGATAGTTATAATTGTTTTTCATTATTGTTTAATGTTTGTGTGTGTGTGTGTATCTATGCGTGTTCACCACACTTTAAGTACGTTCTATAAAAAGTCGTTTTGGTTGTATTAACCGTCAGTTGGACGTGAAAAGCATAACAATTTTACAATGACCTCCTACTGTTTTTTTATATTGACATGGCATTAATAAGACTATTTTGATGGCACGTACTACTGATTCATGTGAGTAGTAGTGAAAGTGTCCATGTCAAACAGTAATACGTGGTAGCCAGTTGAGAGTTCGATAGGCACACTTGAGGCGAGCTCATCAGCTGTGGTGTACTCGGTTTGACCTCAACTTGGAGAGCCGAATGAATCAGTTCCAACCACGAGGATCCTGACTCACTACTTAGACAGACACTGTTTGATGGCTGTAATTTTAGGGACATTTGTCTATTGGCTGAAAAACTTATATTATTATTATTGTTTCCTTTAATTCCTAGAGGAACATAGGGCTTCAGCCGTGCGTCTCCATTGCTTTCGGTTCTCCGCTAGAGTCTTCGCCTGGCTCCAAGTCTACTCACACATTTTCATCTCCTCTTCACATGACCTCCTTCCAAGTCACCCTCACACTGACGACCAACTCACCGCTTCCCTTTCGGGTTCCACTCGAGCAGTGGCTTGTCTAGTGATGTCACTCACTTGACGGTTTGTTTCCTCAGAGTATGGCCAATCCATCTCCATTTCTTCCTCCATATCTGATGCACAATCGGTTCCTGCTGTGTTGGTTCGCTCCCAGAGGTCTCTGTTGCTGATCTTTACTGGCCATCTGATCTTCAGCGAAGTATTGAGCGAAGACAGCTGTTGATGAAGGTCTGTAGTTTGTTTGAGGTGCTCTTTATGACGCGCCAAATCTCTGATCCGTATAGTAGCACTGACTGGCTTCACATTGGAGTTGAAAATCCGGATCTTATTTTTGATGCTGAGGAGCGCTGTTGACCTTGAGACTTGAGAGTAGTGAAAAACTTATGATACATCATTCCTTATCTGGGGTTATTGGTATTTGGTGTTAAGTCTCATAGGCTATATTATTGTTATTATTATTTAACTTCGATTTAATTGTCATCGTACAGTCTGAGCAGAAATCAGAGAATGACTTCGGAAAGTTTTGCTGAAGATTTTTTTCCCCGAAAATGGCACACCATCAAACTGTCCTGCTAAAATTATGCATCATGACCGAGTCAGAAACGACTTTATATCTTTCCAGTATGCTTAGTGTACATGGAGTACAGATATTCCTGTCTTTTCTACTGAGTATTGGTTATTACTCCTACGCTACATTTTTTTGTCAGATTAATTATTATTTATCATTAATATTTTATATATATTTACATTCCCGGTGGAACATAGGGCTTCAAGCCTCACCTTTGAATTTTTCGGTAGCAGGGATTTTATTTTTTACGGGGTGGGGTTGTTAACTTCACAGCCCCCTCCCTCTCAACCTTTCCTCTTTTCCGGGGTCACTATAACGACCTAGCTAGGTTTTGGAGTTCACCGGCTGGGAATCGAACCCTGAAGCACATGCATACTTGGTGAGCATTAAACCGTTGAACCACCGACTCAAGCAGGTTAATTATGGCATGACAATATTAGTAGTGACTAACTCCACGAAATTCCTTTGGGCAACTGATTTCTCTTGAGATTTCCAACATTTTAATATTTTCTTTAACTTTGTAAAAGTGTTCTGTTTATGCGTTTAATGTTTTCAATGCAGAAGAAAACAGCAAACAAAACCAGGTGGTAACTAGAATTGCTTCTTTTAACTGTAGATGTCCTGTACACATCAGTATTTATCATACATCACTTTTGACGGTTTCGGGATACTAATTATCTAGATTACGGGTTTGTGGGGGTGTAGATCATGTTAATTTTAATTGTTAGATCTCGTCATGAACCATAGCAACAGTTGCAGAGATCAATGAAAACCACGGAGTAGTGAACAGTTATTTCGTCCCATGTCTGGAGTCTTCAGCGGCATGCACCAAAGACCCACTAGGAATTGAACCTCTGGGGACATTCAGGTTATGAGGCCAAGCTCGTTGAACATCCACTTCACCTTGACATGGTGGGTTGACCCCCTACTAGTCACGACTAATGTTCAGAGCTCATTGGTTTTCAGTGCTTTCTCTAACTGATATTGGTTTTTTTACGCAATCTAACAAGTGAAATTATACTAATTGTCATCATAAAATTCTACTTGTAAGAATTTACAAATATCATACTTGTTTTCTTATTTTGGAAACCTCTTTTTTTCTTCAGGATATCAATGGCTGTCAGGGTAAAAATAGTTTGTTAACTGTTTGTCTAACAACTGGAAGTCAAGCATCTGAAACATGTCTATTGGCACCAACAACTCTTGGAGGTAAGTTACAGATGTACACACATTTTTCAACGGTGTACAATGCGGTAATATTGAGAATTTTATTGTACATGTTTTAAAAGTTTGTTTGTAAATCTCTAATGGTGTATAGTAAATACTTCGCGACGTCTAAGTGCAGTGTACTGTCAAAGGATTTTGAGAAGCCTGCACCTGCCCTTGTAGGTGGATCGCTTGAATATGTTGGCAAGTTCGCGTATCTAGGGTAGTTGTGTGAGGGCTTACGGAGGTGTGACGGATGAAATCTCTAATCGTATGGTAAAATCTGGAGTGGAACAGGCCAATTAGGGCCATCTCTGGCGCGGTCGCGACATCAGTCTGGCTGTCAAAGGTGGGTTTACCGTACTTCACTGTGCACAGTCTTACTCTACGCCCATGAAATCAGACGCCTCAGAAGAATTGCTTGCGCTTGATGCCATCATCGCGTGAGTGATTCTGCGGTCCGGAAGCGTGTATTTAGACATTGTGGTGGAGGTCACCATTCATTGAGTCTTCTCTGGAAACACCGGCTTTTGTGGCTCGAACATGATCTTCAGATGTCATCCCAGAGGCTTCTGTATCGGTCTTTGTCCTCCAGCTCTGAGAATAGATGGAAAAAGCGGAGATGTGATCAGCCTATGATGTAGCGCCCTTAAGATGAAGGATATTCGTATAATTTTAGCAGCTATTGGTACATCATTACTCCCTTGTTGGAGTCCGTGAGACAGATAGAACAGAACTATGAATGGATTTAGCTTGTCCTTTACTTAACCACCACGGAGGATGATGTTCGAAAATCCGACGATAAACACGCCTAACTGTACGGCCTCTATTACTGACTGGCTCCACAGGAGTAGTCAAATTAGTAGATACACATAGAAGAGGCGAAACCAGACAATTTATCTTTTATTCCCAAATGCAAAATATAGGGGTGGTTTTTGAAGTTTATATTTTATTGAGAACTGTAAAATTCATTTTTTTTAAATTCAGAGATATCATCTTCCTCTCTGTGATATAGTTTGCATGCAAATCAGTGTATTTTAGTTAGCTGACCTTTGATTAAAATTGCACGAAAACACTGTGTACAACAGCAGAGAGAGGTTATGTATGGGGTAGCAGATTATACATACCTTCTACTTTCAACTGTATCTTAAGTCTGACCTCTGTTGTTATATTTATAATTGGGATTTAATTTCTTCTTAATTGCGCGCGTGTGTGTGTACTTTAGAGGTTGACCTTGACCTCGACCTCAAGTGGGTTTTATTTCAGTCCTCCTTTTTGTTGGAAAGTAGACAAAGTAAGTGTTTCAGGAATGAATAAATAAGTAAATAAGTGGAAAAATGCACGTTAGCCAGTTTGTTTGTTCTAATTTTCTCCCAAGCAATTCTCTTTTCAACTTTATTTTCCACTCTGCTTGAGATTTGATGATCATCCTACCCAATAGATCAATAAAGCTAGAAGAATGATTTAGCAGTTTGATGGATTGCGTCTAGCAGTGGAATCTAGGATGGGCATTTCGTTCTATTTGTGACTCATCATCTGCGTATACCTTTATTCGTCAGCGAGTGATGGTGTTCCCACTGGGACTCGACCCGAGTACCGCTTGTTTCAAACGCCAAAGCGTTATCCACTAGAGCACTTGGACTTTTGTGTTCGAAACAATGGGTGTTGAGATTGAGTCTCAGTGAAGAATGCAGGTATACCCAGCTGACGGGTCTCAAATAGGACGAAATGCGCATCCTGGATTCCACTGCTAGACACCATCCACCAATTAAATTCGAGTAGTTACTCTGTTGTGAGATGTGTGATTATGAGGCGGTACTTCAGTGGTGGTGGCGCATACTCGCCAACTACGCAAATGGACCGCGGTTCGGTCTCCGGTGGACGCACACGCACACACTCTCAAACCTCGCTTTGTCAGCTCCGTGAACAGGGAAGGTTGAGCGCAAGGTTACCAACCAATAAAATGAAGTGAATTAATTAGATATGTGGTCATCACCGATTTTATGGTTAAAAACTTTTATCTTTACTGGTTTTCATTTTGGATATTCTCTTTACATGTACGCCCATGCTTGTTTTTTTCTTCCAGCTATAAGATATTCTAGTTATCATGGTAAATAATGCGTTTGTTTATTTGTGTGTATGTGTGTGTGTTAGTGGGTCAGTGGGTGAAGTAGAAATTCTCATAGAGAATACATCCGTCCTTCTGCTCCCCCACAAAACGCTCTTCATAACCAAATTTTTCTAAACAATAAGTTTTTAGAGTACGATAATTATCCACTCCTCCCACGCAAAATAAAGTTTCGGTCAGATTAATCTTGTGATTTCCGGTGGATTGACTAGGTTTTCAACATTCTAATAGTCTCCAGAATTATATACTTAAGGTCATAAATGATGAATTCATTGATTACATCTCATTTACGTTTATTTTCTAAATTTTAATAAAACTGTTACCATTAACCGCCCCTCCCCATATACCTTCAGCTGATGTCTGCGTAAAGCGTATAGTTTCCTCAGTTTTAGTGTAGGATGCTAGACTTTTTACTTGACAGTCACTGGACAGTACCACTGTAGTAGATGTAGAAGAAAAGAGACTTGGTAATGGAATGTTTATTTAGAATTCGAAATTTCTTTACAGGGGAATTATGTACACCTTACTTATATGAAAATCGTCATTTGCACTGATCTTCCGTGTTGTTCAACTTCTGCCGTTCCTTCGTATTGTGTTTCTTTGCGTGTCTTTATGTGTCTCCCATGTTTCGCCACAATGTAGGGTTCATTTCGTCCTCTCTTTTACGTCACATCTACCTTTCTGCTACTGGATACTTTTGTGTTCCGATGAACGTTTCTTCATATACTACTGCTGATAAACCTTGTCAGTAGCATACGCCACAACATCAACTCTTACGCAATAAATGTGTTTCGTGGCACAGAACATAAAATGTCTGATCCTGGTGACTAAATTCTGACTGACCAATAGCAGTTTTGTTGTGTGGTGCTCACATCACCATGGCTGTTAGTATGTCTCTCAGCTATGATCGGAGTTGTCCTACGTATATATATTTAACTGGTTCCCCAAATTACTTATCACTATGATGGCAGCACAATTCTGTGAGAGGAGTTTCATTCCAGAGCTGATAGAGCGCTCTGTAGAAAGTTCCTCGTTTCAAACTGCCTGTCGTTTAGTTTTCCACTTCATTTTCGTTAGGAATTTAATTCTGTGTGGATACGACTGTCTTGTGGTGATTTAAATTTATGAAACCATTTGGAGGAAGTATTTCTTATTGAATGGATGAATCTTGAAACAGAATGGTTTGATACCAATACACTATCAGCCAGTCTCGGTCCCGAGTTCGAATCCCTCACTACTTACTTCAATCTGGACAACTTGATAGTATACCAGCAGCCCTTCTACAACAAGTGTGGCTCACATAAGAAGCCTGGTACATAATCTATCCATTAGAGGAGTTGGCGTTACAACAGTGATATTAACATTTCAGAAAAATCTAGGGTACACTTAGTTAAGCTCCTCATATTGAAACTTTTCTGTGTGATCTCTGCTTTGTAAATTACACCTGAGACTGTCTGAGGTATTTTAAATCTAAAGCATAAAGCTATTTGGCTATGTCTGAATAGACTGTCGTATATGAAAGTTCGCATAGTTTCCACTTTCTTATCATCACGATAACCAGACAAGATTCTATTGTTAATCTTCATTTTCATTTCTCACCGCAATTTCTTGTTGTTTTGTTCACTCTAGAAATTCCTTTCACTTTAGTTCTTTATGAATTACTAGATGAGAAGAGAAATATTGAGGTCAGAGAAGTCGGCATTTCTCTCTCTTTCTCTGTCTCTATTTCTGTATTTTAACCACTCTCCAAATGTGATTATTTATCAGACAAAGTTTAAAGTAGTGAAATACTATACTGATACTGGATTCATTGGTTTTTCACTCCTACCTTTATTTCTATATATTGTTTCTACTGAGTGCTGAGCCGATTTGTAGTCATTTATATAAAACGGTAGCTGTAATGAAAAAGCACCTCGTCTCGATCGATATCTGCTACTTTGAAATAGCGGTATTGGGCTTGCATATCACAATGAGTCAATAAGCTACATTGGCTAAGCTTAATGTTCTTTCTGGTCCTACTATACCAGAAAGGTTGTCTAGATAGTGGTCTGGCTAAAAGAAGTTATCATTGTAGTTTAAGTCATTAACAGTATGTTGGAGGTCTGTGGATGAAGTCTTATTTGCGGTGAGTAGGAATGTAACAGCATTAAGGTGTTTCCCTCAGATGACCAGAAAACCAGCTGTGCTGAATCTCTGCTCTGGAGATATGGGTTAGAAAAGGTCAACCGCGAAAAGTGAACGTGTTGAATAAGCGTAACCGGTGGTAATATCTCAATACAAGCACAACTTCAAAAGCCACTTCAAACATACTATATGTGATCGGTTTCAAGCAGTCGTCCTATGGGCGCTATGTTGTCATGTAACGCTATTATCCCTTCGGTTTTAGGTACCGAATAAGAAATCTACTTCCATGGTGTAAACAGTCGGGCTATTTTGATGTGGTTGTGTTCTCTGAGCCAGCTGGATAGTTAATTTGCGAAGCTTTCATCACCCTACTAAGTGACATCTTCAGCGCATACTTCAATTTGAAGTGAGCTTTTGGATTTCTCCACGAGTTTATTAATCATCTCTCCCGGTGACCTTGGACGTGATTAGTTGTTTTTGTGTATTTTCACACTTTCTAGGCTACTTGTATTGGAACTGATTGTTTCTTTGGCTTGAACTTTGACCCTTTGTGTGTGAGGTTTCGGTTGATAAATTTTGTCAATCTCGATGTGTCTATTGATTGATGATTCACTGGAATGCCAAGTTTTTAAAAATTCTCTAGCATTCTTGTTGTTTCCTCTGTCTAATATTTGAACATTGTCCCAATCGAATTGATGTCCGTCAGTCGGGCTAGTAATAACGGCCCACATACTTCCACAAACACACAAAACTTTCGTAATCATTATCCACCTTCACCTCTATCACTTTCATCATCTTGCTTTCGTTGTATCATTAATTCTGGGTCAGTCAAACGACCTCTTAATAAACTCATTTGTTGATCAAATTTATAGATTATACATCAGCCAGCTTACTTATGAGCAGCACTTGTTTTATTTTGAGCTGATTTCATATAGTTACTGTAAAAATACATACACTTAGCTGGGAAAGTTTGAGTTTTTAATAGTGTATAGGATCTCTTTAGCATATTAAAACTGTTTCATTATTCCCCTTGCTATTCGATTTGAATTTCGCATAATATTTCTAGTACCTTTTAAATTCTTCTTAAGAATTAGAGTGCTTTATGTGTGACTGTCTCGTCATTGACTGCTCTGAGAATGACTACAACTTATGCCTATCTGACAGGCTTCTTATGGAATTTTTATTTTCAAGAGTTGATTTGAAAGGATTTGAATTTTTTCGGGTTTGACCGTGGATTGATATCACTTAGAGAACCATTGCAAAAAACCAGGGAGTACTGAACAACTGTTTCATCCTAGTTTCGGAATCATCGACAGTAAGCACCCATCGACCGGGGTTCGAACCCAGGACCTTCCAGTTAGTTACCAAGGCAAGCTTGTGTACCATTCACCCACTGGGATCCGATTCAATGGCCAGCCCATGAATTCCAATTTCTACCTATTCGTGATTTTAGTGAAACCACCAACCAATATCATCAGTGGGAACTCCATCCTCACTTCCTACTGTATAGACCTCACTCGTCACGACTTCTCACTAGAACTCCAGGGTACGTACTGCTGATGGATGAGTGGCAAACTAAGATGAAAAGAGCTGTTCAGTGCTCCCTGGTTTCCAATGGTTCTCTAACTAATTTTTCATTCTTTGTACATAATTAATCTCTAACTACTGGTTGATGTAAGCTCTGAAGATGCTGTCCCCAGAAAGATAATGAAAGCTTATCAATTCAATTAAGTATAATTATATTTCAATGGTTTACACACACAATGATAGGTTTTGTTAATGGTAATATTTCGAGCAAAATTACTGTCCGTGATCATCACACCAACTGTTGGAATTGTTTTGTTTTTTGATTCACACATGATTTGCACTCATATATATATATTGATGTCTTCAAATATGTGGTTAGCTCTCACGAAGTGTGCAATATAGTTGGCACTGAAATAGAAACCAAGTCTGAAATTAAATACCTAGGCGTCATTCTATCTGCTGATCTTTCCTGGTCGTCACATAACTTGGCGATTTCTAAGAAAATATTCCGTCTTACCTTCTACATCAAGAAGTTAAGACATTCTGGTACAATCTAACCTTTACTCCTACAGTTCGTCAACTCTCGCATTCTGCCTATTAATCTCTATTGTTCCCCATTAGTTTTTCCCGGGATACTGAAGAAAGACTATACCTTATTACGCATGATGTTAAAATTTGTCGCCAGGGTAAGCAACGTGCCACTTAACCAGCTTGTTAATATTCTGGTTGACAGGCACATGCACTCATGTGAAAAATGGGCCAAATCCATTTTATCTGACTCACACCACCCTCTTCACTCACAACTCTCCCCCTGCATCTCATTAGGTAGGACCAGAAGCCTATATAGAAAGCTATATGCTCACACTAGCAAGTACAAGAACTCAACCATACCCTACTTGGCTTGTGTTTTGTGCGATAAAGAAAGCACCAGGCGTGAAACTTATAGCTTATTAAATAGTCAGTAGAACAGGTGAATCTCGTCTTTCCAACTCATATCATTTATAGGTACAACATTTCCTTTCTTTCTTTTCATTTCCTCTCTATTTTTCCGTTATGTGCTGCTTTGTTTCTTTCTTCCGCTTACGCCAGTAAATATGCTAGCACCTACTTTTCTAACACCATCAAACACTGTTCAACTTTGGCTTTTCTGCCGACATGCTAATATGTTCTTGTCATAATGAACTGAGATTACCCATGATCTATGTAGAAATTTATTTATTGATAATGTACTGACTGAATGCAATACTGTAATGAGATGCTGAAAATTCCATTGTGTATCACAAGTACTGTTTTGGGATAAAGCAAATTATTATTATTATTATTATGATCATTAAGCCATCCAACACAGAGAACACAATTGCACCAATAAAATTGTAACTGAACTATACACTTTCTCCATTATATCCCAATACTTATTTATCTAAATGTCAAGTGGCAAAGCAAATTAATGTCATATATAGAATAGAATAATTCGTAGGATGGATAGAAACTGAAAAAGGTGTGCAATTATAAGATTAGTAGACAAATCGAATAAAATAAAAACGTTACGTAATATTGTGTGAAATTTAATTGCATAGAATTTAATGTTGTAAAAAAAGGAATTGATTTAGAATGACAAATGGAACAAGTGAAATAATACCGGGGACAATTAAAAGTGAGAGTAGTAATAGTAACAATTGACGTAATGAGGAAGAGTATACAAATTGAATAGACAAAAATGAAAAGATGAAAAAATTGGTAGAGCTAAAATATGATTGGGGATTACCATACTTCAGCATAGAGGGATTAAGACCATGAAAGTTGGAGGGGAGGGATTGAACGAACTTTTTCTGTACACACAGATCTGGCTTTTCTGTTTCGATAGCCAAAGCTTCAGCAATACAGATGAGTCGGTTACGTATGGATTTGGGTAAATTACTTTTTGCCTTGTAGATGACTTTAAAGGTGGAGACTATAGAGATAGGGTGATCATTGTCGACCAGATGTTCAATGATCGCGCTTCTTATTGCTCCACTTCCACCTTTTCGTAACCACTTAGGATAGCGTTCTTGCATCCTCTTGAACAAAACTCGTGTCGAACGATCGATATACGTAGCTCCACACGAGCAGGTGAATTGATAAACACACATAGAGTTGGTCAGCAGCGGGTTATTGAACAGTAATGGTCGACTAGTAAAGGCTATTCTCAGAGATGCAGCAGGGTATGTTCTTTTCAGGGACTGTGATATCCTTCGTTTCATGATATTGGAAGCTAAGTCCCCTTTAAATTCCAAGCTAATGTAAAGTATTTTCTAGGGTACGGTTGATAGGTCACGTTTTTTAGGATTTGAATGTATATTCTTATCTATAAAACGTGGTGGAAATCCATTTTCTATTAGGATTTTCCTCAAGCTGTATAAGTCATCTTCCACAGTATCAGGGCTACATATGCGCCGAATACGAGTGGCAAGCGACGGGACCAAGTTTCATTTGCGACCAATGGGTACCCAGCTCTAGAAATTTGTCAGTTGACCATTCCATGACAGCTTACGATAAATCATATTTTAGCTGTAACAATTTTTTTCATCTTTTCATTTTTGTCTATTCAATTTGTATACGCTTCCTTATTACGTCAATTGTTACTATTACTACTCTCACTTTTAATTGTCCCCGGTATTATTTCACTTGTTCCACTTGCCATTCTAAATCAATTTCTTTTTAATAACATTGAATTCTATACTATTAAATTTCACACAATATTGCGTAATGTTTTTATTTTATTCGATTTGTCTACTAATCTTATAATTGCACACTTATCTATCTATCTATCTCTATATGTTGTCATATATATCATATTTTATCTTGAATTGTAGTCAGTTCGACAACGATTTGGTTAGGCAAATTAGCCGGTTATCTAGTCAGTCTGTCGATAAAACGATGTCATCCTGCCTATCGATCTATTCAACAATTGGATGAAGAATTAATGCTTGAAGTGAATCAATCACGAAGTCGTCATCAAAGTCGTGGTTCTTCTCTGCCTAATAATAATACTGCTACTACTGCTATTACTACTAGTATGCCGTGTGGATTGAATAATTGTGTTGAAAATGGATTCAATGTGACAAATGGGAATGGTGGTGGGAATGTTGGACACTTGGAGTCACCAACTCATTCATGCCTCCCCGCGAAAATGGAGAGTGACGGTAGGTGTAACTTTTTTTTAAAAACTTATTTATTTATAATCAATCACACAAGCACCAGTATGCTTATTGGTTTTAGAGCATTTTATCCGAGTGCTATTCATCCTTTGCTTCTTTAGTGGAAAATCATTCTTGTAATTCAGACAGCCATTTGATTTGATTGGTTATAAGGATTTTATCGTTAGCTGACATTGGCTAGAGAACCATTGGAGAACCTGGGAGTACTGGACAGCTGTTTCGTCCTAGTTTGGGACTCTTCATCCGTACGCACCCAGCGGGGTTCGAACAGAGGACTGGGTCCCAGTGGCTTAATGGTCTACCAGCTTGCCTTGTAACCAGGAGGTCCTGAGTTTGACACCTGGTGGGTGCGTACCAATGAAGAGTCACAAACTAGGACGAAACAGCTTTCCAGTATTCCCTGGTGGTTTACCAATGGTTCTCTAACCAATGTCAGCTCATGATGAAATCCTGTAACTAAATTCTTCTTCTTCTTGAAGCTCTACAATTTATAAATCCATTAATTTATGCCATACAATGATGGTCGCTAACCAGTAAAGGCAAATTACAATCATATCAGAAATGTGTATTGTGGAACTAGTACAAAAAAGATGGATGGGATGGAACAATAGTCAGTTAGTTTTTCAATATGCATGGTCAATTAGAGCATGAGATAAACTGAGATGAAATAATTTAATGATGTGCGTATATGTACACATATATAAATATAGTCAACAAAAGTACAGATTTCGAGAGTGGGTGTAATCACTGGTGTGTGTGTGTGTGTGTGTATGAGACAATATGAATACTACAGAAAACAAACCAACGAATGGGGTGGACTAGACATAAGTTCAAGGATGAAAATAACGACAATAATAATAACAATGTGAAATGATAACGGTGATGCAGTGTAAACTTGAAAGTACTATTGGTGAATGATTATCACATAATAACAATAAGAATAATAATGAATTCAGTGAAGCGGAATGAACAGGATTTTCTGAATATGATAACAAGTTAGAAAAGCACTTCAAATGAACTGTCGTCAAGATTTGACCGAATAGTTCTAAAATATTTGGGCGCCGAGTGAGAAGTAGATATTTCGCGAAATATACCCATTAAGACATTGAAATAAGAACAAATTAGTTCAGCGAAGAGTCTCTTTTCGGCGAATTCATTCACTTAGCTGTACAGTCGCAAATATATATACAATTATTTTGTGTGTGTGTGTGTACATTAGGTTTATCAAAATCAAAATAACGGTTAGTGTGGGTTGTTGATTATATCATCAAGATAATGAAGAAGTTAAAATGTGTGATTAATACTCAAAGTTGTAACTAAGTGGGGTGAAGATTGGTAAGATGTGAGTAGAGTTACATCATCAAAATAATGAAGAAGTTAAAATGTGTGATTAATAGTCAAAGTTGTAACTAAGTGGGGTGAAGATTGGTAAGATGTGAGTAGAGTTACATCATCAAAATAATGAAGAAGTTAAAATGTGTGATTAATAGTCAAAGTTGTAACTAAGTGGGGTGAAGATTGGTAAGATGTGAGTAGGGTTACGTAATATGGACATGTTTAGAAAGATTAGATGCTAGTGCAGACAATTATGAAAATAAACTAGATAATAGGTGAAAAGATTGAATGGGTTAGTTAGTTAGTTAGTAGATATTTGTAAAAAATTATATTTGTAATATCTCAGCGATATTGAAATGAGTAATTCCAACGTTTCGTTCGGCAATCTGGTCCGAAATTCTTCAGGGAAATTAATCAAAATTAACATAACAGAGGTTTTATATATAAAAGGCACATCTTTTGTTTTTAAAAACTTTGTCCAATCATGATTCATAAACACAAGTATTAACAAGTATAATAAACAAAATTGTATGAGCTGTGATCAAAATTTGACCTCGGACTTACAAATATTGGTCTACCTTTGTTAAACACTTTAAACAGAGTGTGCATGCGTGTGTGTGTAAACAGTTGTAAAACATTTCTTAACATCTCCATAGGAAGATATAGACAGTCAGGAATTTGACCAAGTATTAATAATTAGTGATACATATCCATTTTTATTTATTTATTAATCAGGATTTCCTGTGCATCAGCTAACATCAAACCTTCATGTCCGTTCAAACTGCTAGTATCTAGAATTTTATGATTAGACGTATTTTCAAAATGATGGTGTTTAGTATTAGAGTTTAGTTTAAGCAAGTTAGAAAAGCACTACTTAAAAACCTAAGGTAATAGAAATCATAAGAAAGGTCATGAAGTCGTAAAAGGTCAGAAATGGACGTTTATCAATGAAACAAAGGAATAGAAGAAGAAGAATAGAAAAATATTGTGATAGGAATCTAAAGTCCTAATGTTTATGGATGATTTGTTGGTCTTATTGTAGGCCAAGGTAAACATAGCGGTTTAATTAATATCAGTAAAAAGTTTGAGCATTGTGGATTAGATCAAATAAAGTATAATTATACTTTATTTGATAGTGGTTTGGCATACTTCTTTTGTATGCAAACAGCCGGTCTTGTGGTATTGATTATTACCGTTGCAGCTACTGATAGAAGACGTAGTCGAGCTCCTCTAGGTTAATTACCAGGGTCGTGGGAAAAAACTGAGAACGCTAGGTCAGGTTTTATCGAGTGTCCAGTATCTACCAAGTGTGTTAAGACTGCACTGTCTACGCATTTAGTTACCTGTTTACTCAACCATACAGGTACATGTCCACGTAGGCGTGTGGATAAAGCCTCCTGAGTGCGGTCAATGTAACTAGTTCCACAAAAGCAGTTAGTTTCTGACCTTTCTTATGATTTCTATTACCTTAGGATTTTAAGTAGTGCTTTTCTAACTTGTTATCATATTCAGAAAATCCTGTTCAATTCCGCTTCACTGAATTCACTATTATTATTATTGTTATTATGTGATAATCATTCACCAATAGTACTTTCAAGTTTACACCGCATCACCGTTATTATTTCACATTGTTATTATTATTGTCGTTATTTTCATCCTTGAACTTATGTCTAGTCCACCCCATTCGTTGGTTTGTTTTCTGTAGTATTCATATTGTCTCATACACCACTGGTTACACTCATTTAAGCTGAATTGTAGCCTAGGTATTCTTCCGAATGTGTAGGCTTTTTGAGGATATTGATACTTAGTCCACCATTTGATCGTCTTAATGCCAAACAGTCCAGGAAAGTCGAATCATTTACGTTGGATTCAATCCCTTTCGAAAAATAATAACAGTTATCAAGTTTGAAAGAAATACAATAGGCTGAATATAAATTCAAAGTCTCATTGTGCAACTGACTTGTAATTCTGCAGTCTTGAAAGCCTTTTCAGTAGATCTGCTCAACCTGTAACTTATAGTATCACTAGATATGTCATCCTTCAACTTTATGTAGTATAATAAACACACCATAAAAATCATATATATCTAGACCCAGTGCCTAGACATTTCAGTCTGCACCAAGGATAGGAACGGACACATTACACGAGTTACTAACTACTGTCCAATCAGAATATTAATTAATTAGAGCTATTGGTATCTGAGGTCGACAAAGTTTATCTCTGAGAGAGTTGGTTGGTCATTAATGACACTCTAATTCCAGCCTCATTGAGAATCCAGTTATTTTAACCGCATCACTGTGTGATATTTGAAATAAACTCATCTAATATGGAATTGAACAGCTACACTCCTGTGTAAATTTCTAGGTTGAAACTCAGTGTGTAGGGCAAGTTACCACTATCCAGTTGTTTTTCATGTAGTCTGTCCGCCAATAATCACTTTGGTGCTTATGTATGATTGTCACATGCCAAGTTATTTCTATAATTTAATTTATCGTCTTTTCTCTCTCTCTCTCTATGTATATGCTCTCTTTGAAACAGATGAAGTCTGTCAAACAATGACTGCCAACTCTGCTTTACACTTGGCACGTGCTGCTGCTGTCGCCTCTGTACATGAATCATTCAGTGGACAGATTTACCAGAGTGAATTGTTGTGCTGTGGTGGTCTTTGCAGCGGCGGCGGCAGCATCGGTGGCAGTAGCACCAGCACTGATGGCGCAGCTATGGATACACCTATGCGTATGTTAGAAGCTCGATCAGGTTTCGGTGTTGGACACTTGACCTGTGGTGATTCTAAGCATCATCATATTGTCATTGTCGGCGGTTATACACGTAAAGGCTGTTTAGACAGTGTGGAGATGTTCACTGAAAACAACAATAATTCAAGTGAATTATGCAGTGATGAAGATTGTCCTGTACACCCACCTGTTGCTGGTCCACGGTTGACAAAACAAAGAGGACGATTAGCTGTTGTCTCGAGTTATTTACAGTCATATTCCAATTCTCCTGATGTAATATATGCCTGTGGCGGTTCTACTGGTTCTAAGGATTTAGCTTCTGTAGATCGGTAAGTTGCTTAATTTTCTATTTTAATCCCTTTTTATATGTGGTGCGAAATTTAGTTGATATCTGCAAGTGTATAGTATATCACCAAGTGGTGTTGCTTTGCAGAAATTTGATCAATCACGAGCTAATATGAGTTAAAGAATCCTTGGAAAACCTGGAAGTACTGGAATGGCATTTATCTTATTCTGTGACTCTTCGTCAGTCTGCACCCGTCGGATATCGGACCCAGAACCTTATCGACCATTTGGCCACTGGAACCCAGTCCAACTGCTGATGAATCACAGCTTCTGCTAATTAGTGATGTAAAGTCAAACTCCTAACCAATGTCACTGGCGTGTAACTGATCGTTTACCTGACTTGGTGGAGTCCGGTGAATACGACTTATCAATAGAATTCCAGATAACTTCCTGTATAAAGCCATTGCTAGTGAGCACCAGATTAATTTACAAGTGTCGGTTTGCAGGTATTTGATTGAAGGTGTTAGCTAAATGTTAGTCTCTTCTCATCAGTCAATGAAATCCACAACAGTTTGAAGTAACCGTTTAATCAAGCCACGTAGGGAGGTATAGACTTCCTGATTTTTTGGGGTCCTCGGGACGGTAAAAACCGATGACTGGAGACAATTGGTGATATGGCTCAAAGTCCTCGTCCTAGATAATGGCGCAGATGCACCCACTCCTTGTGACTTATAATATCCAATAAAACTATATTGTTCTTCAATTGGTGGATGGTGACTAGCAATGGAATCCAGGATGCGCATTTCGTCCTAGTTGGAACTTGTCTGCCAGGTGGATGTACCTGCATTCCCCAGTGAGTGGTGTTCCCACCGAGGCTCGAACCCAGTGATCATAGTTTCAAACGCCAAAGCGTTATCCACTAGACCACTTGTGACACGAGAGCCACCAGACATCGTCGAAGCATCTGCACAAAAAGCCGACATGTCAACCTGAGACCGAGCACTTCGGCCCAATCAATTGACGGGAAAATCTAAAATTCAATTAAAATATATTGTTCTTCGATATTATTATTCTTTTTTGTCTCATATCTCTGTTTACTGCCTCTATTTGCATTTCTTTTTACTTTCTTCCCTTGCTTTATGTGCTACATGGAGGGACTGTGGCGACTCGAAATGCTGCACATCGGTGTAGTCAGTCAGTCCTTCTCATCAGCAAATTATCAGTAAATTAGTTGGCATAGAAGCCATATATATATTCACTGAAGAGAAATTAATTACAGGCTATTACGCCAATAAGAGAATGACTGCTTTTCGCTATTGTATGTTTCGAGTCTAACTGGAAAAAAGGATTTCTGTGCATACACCCAAAAAATACGTTGTCCTGCAAGTTACCCTAGTAATTAAGGAGTTTAAACCAACTTTTCTGCGTTCAAAGCAGCAATTCATCAACACACACTAACATTTCCTTGGTAAAATTTACTTTGATACCAGGACAGATTTACTGCTACCTCCCTTCTTTTGTTTAATGATCTTCATTGTTACTTTGGCCAATCACCATCAACGGGAGGGATTTGAAAGAGGTTACTTCATTCACTTATCTAGGGAGCATTGTCTCAACTATAGGAGGAACGGACGAGGATGTCAAATCGAGAATCGGGAAGGCGAGAAACACATTCATCAACCTGAAACCAATCTGGAAATCTTCGTCACTCAACTCAGCATCAACAACAAAATTCGGATTTTCAATACAAACGTCAAGTCATTCCTTCTATACGGATCAGAAACTTGTCCAGTGTGTCACAAAGAATATTTCCAACAGCCTGTTGCACACCTTTATCAACAACTGTCTTCGCTGGCTCTATACTGAAGATCAGATGGCCGGAAAGAATCACCAACAAGAAACAAACTGTGAGAAGAAACAAAACAAGAACCAATCGGCTAACAAATATGCAGGAGAAAGTGGGTGACATCGCGCGTCAGGCCATAGCTCGAGTGGAACCCGAAAGAGAGGCGGCGAGTGGGACGTCGAAGGGTGACATGGAGTAGATCGTGTGAAGAGGAGTTGAAACAGAATGGACTAACATGAATGCAGGTGAAAAGTAGAGCAGAAGACAGAAGCAAGTGGAGACGTGCAGCTGAAGCCCTATGTTCCACTAGGAACCCAAGGGAACAATAATAATAATTGTTACTTTGACATTCAATATGTCCTTTCCACTAACATTAGTTAATAGTGCACCACGGTGACCATATTTAACAAATTTGTCTGATAGGATTCATCCACTGTCACTGCACAGGACTAGATGTATGTATGCTATTGGTGGTCGTAACCAATCAGGTTATTGTTTAACCTCTGGTAGAGAAAAGCCAGTTGGTGATCCAATTTGAAATCAGTCAAATCTATACAAACTAACACTTGAAAATCAATATAATGCACACTAGTAAGTGACTACAGAATGAAGTCGCCTGTAGTTCTAGTGAGAAGTCGTGACCAATGGGATCCACTAAGTTAGATAGTATGGACAGAGGTACTTGGGGACAACACTGTCCGACTGACTGGTTGGCTGGTTCTATATATACCGTGAATTAACAGAAGTAGTTAGAATTCATTAACCGTTGGGTTTTGTTTCTGTGGAGGGGTGGTCAACAGTCTCAACCTGCAACCGGATGGTGTTTAAATCATTCACCAATGGGGGGGGGGGAGGATCATGGGTATGTACTGCCGAATTGTCCCGAACTAGACCGAAACATCTGTTCAGTACTCCCTAGTTCTCAGTAATTCTCTGACCAAATTTAAGAATGCCGGTTATTCTCAATAAAATTACTCAGTCAGTTTTCATACAGGAAAAAAAATAAAATAAAAGAATGAAGCTAAATGTTATCAGATGAAAGGTAGAAGTGCATGAGATAAACGAATGGTTCTTATTAAAAGTATGACATAAAAATAAGTTTAAATACTGTTGGCAAATGACAGCATGTTTCAAAAGATTGATTCGTAAACAAAGAATATTCTTTTTTCGATAGCCTTTTTCATCATGTTCTACAGTTTTATGTCCATAATAATTAACCAATTATGGTTGCTAACAAAACAATAATGTTTTGAATAACATCGAATCAATCAGATCAGTAGATTACAGTTCGAAAGAATCTATGAGTGACAGTATGCATAAAAATGCAATCTATTAGACTGAACATGAGATAAATCTGAAAGAAGCAACCTCCTCTACGTACCTACCTACCTAGCTACCTGGGAAGCATCGTTTCAACTACAGGTGGACGGAACTGATGAGGAAATCGAAGCGAGGAACATCAGGAAAGCAAGGCAGGCTTTCATTACTCTCAAGTGTCTGTGTGGAGATCAACAGCACTCCTGAGCATGAAAAGTAAGATTTGGATTTTCAAGTCCAATGTGAAGTCAGTCAGTGTTACAATACGGATCAGAGACTCGGCACTGCGCCGAGTCACGAAGGGCACTTCGAGCAAACGACAAATCTTCATGAATAGATGTCTTCGCTCAAGACCAGATGGCCAGACAAGATCAGAAACAGGGATCTCTGGCAATGAGCGAACCAACCCAGCAGGAACCAATTGTGCAAGAAATATGCAGGAAGAAATGGAGGTGGATTGATTGGCCATACTCTGAGAAAACAAACAATCATCAAGTGACATCAGACGCCAGGCCATTGCTCTCGAGTGGAACCTCAATGGGTAGAGGCGAGTTGGTGGTCAGTGTGAGGGTGACATGGAGGAGGTGGTGCGAAGAGAAGATAATAGTAAATGGGCAGATGTGGAGTGGCATAAAAACGTTGTTGGAGAACCGAAATCAATGGAGACGTGTGGCTGAAGCGCTATGTTCCTCTAGGAACTAAAGGCGACAATAATAATATAATAATGAGATAAATTAAAGGAAATAATATAGAATTTATAAATATATAGTTTCCACAGCAGGCCAGGGTAGCTATAGTGCCTGGCTGGACCTATTTCTTTTGCACACACACAGAGTTCCGGTTGATTTCAGCGAATTGCAATGGCCTGTGCTATTTGAAATGTTCGTTATCTAGAGGCTTTTGGGCATTTATTCGATACCTGATAGATTCTAGAGAGAGACTCTTCAATACTAGCTAGCTTTTTGGCCTGTTTGAATAATGTGATCTAATAGTATAGAACTGCTGATGATTTTTACTACTCCTTTATTTAGTCAAATTGGTGGGTGTTACCGAGCAACATGAAGCAACAGCCAATGTAACTGGCTCTACAGGAGCAGTTGAATTGATAGATACAATAATAAGTGGTTAGCCTGTGCACACTTTGTCTTTCAGTTTCGGAAACACAGCCAGTTGAGTGGAAATTATAAACTGCAGTTTAACGGGATTAAACATTGTTTTATTCGATTTTCTCAACTTGTCGGCCATTACTTAACTTGGTACATACCTGTGAATTACAGTTGTATATATATATATATATAGGCTTATTTTAAGAAGATACAGGAGAATTCTTATCTACTCTCTTGACCATGTGTTTCTTGGTGGATTTTCTAGGGTAGCTGTTTTCACTTAAGGTGGTGTCATATACAATCTTCAGTTACATATTCTGAACAAGTTGCTCTGACTCTGTATTTGTTGAGGGTCTTTATGAAATGTCTTTCTTTCATTACTCTCAAGTCTGTGTGGAGGTCAAAAGCATTCAGCATCAAAAATAAGATCCGGATTTTCAACTCCAATGTGAAGTCAGTGCTACTATACGGATCAGAGACTTGGCGCGTCATAAAGAGCACCTCAAACAAACTACCGACCTTTATCAACAGCTGTCTTCCTTCAGTACTCAAGATCAGATGGCTGGCCAGAAAAGATCAGCAACAGGGATCTCTGGGAGCAAACCAACCAGGAACCGGTTGTGTAGCAAATATGGAGGTGGATTGGCTATACTCTAAGGAAACCATCAAGTGACATCACTAGACAAGCTATTGCTCGAGTGGAAGCGGAAAGGGAAGCGGCGAGTTGGTCGTCAGTGCAAGGGTGACTTGGAGGAGGTGATGTGATGAGGAGATGAAAGCATGTGGGCAGACTTGGAGCCAGGTGAAAACTCTAGCAGAGAACCGAACGCAATGGAGACGTGCAGCTGAAGCTCTCCCTGTGTTCCTCTAGGAATTAAAGGAAATAATAATAATAATGAAATTTCTTTGACAACGGAGAGGAACAAAATTTGTGAAAATGTGTATATTGACCTGCCCGAATACTTTTCTGATGCAAATTCCTGTTTATACTACCATCTGTTCTCATTATGAGCAGAATGTCTAAGAAGGTGATTCTACTTTGGAATTCTATTTCACTTGTGAATTTGTTCAATAATACGCTTTGCAGCTGGATAGAAAACGACTTGGTTACCGTATATATGTGTTTCAGCTTACTTCCTATCTGTCTTCCGACCCTCATCTTTGATAAAAGCATTCCATCAATATTTTAAAATCGCAAAGAGAAGTTTTGATCGGATACATTTTAGAAATAGTCAGCCGGCTTAAACGTGATGTGTTTGTCCGTAACCCCTAATTGTAACTTCAGAACTGAAAGCCTCACTTCTGTACTAGATACTGGAGTTGACCGGAAGTGAATTTAATAAAGTCAATAAAATATAATTTTCGCAATCATTTGTTTGAAAGTGATAAAGAAATGTTTCCACACTGCATTTCATTCTCCCCCCACCTCTCTCCACTTTTTAATTTGTAGACTAACTTCTGAATCTCTAAAATCATGGTTTGCCAATCATGAAACAACCAAAAATGGTCATTCTGATATTAACACTGTTGAATACACAAATGGCTCCAGCAAAAGTACAGATACTCGTTTACGAACTGATTCACTAGTGCACAGCAACGGTGGTGGTGGTACATCAACAAATGGATCCGCTATAGCAAATATTTCATTTTGGCAGCCTATCAAAAGTTTACACGAGGCTCGTACTAATCCAGTCGCTGTAGATTTAAGTTACCTGCATCAAGGTCCACTTATATCGAATTCAAAAGGATCTATTCTTGTTGCTGGCGGTGTATGCGGCGCGCAATATCTGTCTTCAGTTGAAGCGTATATTCCCGACAGAGATGAATGGGTTTATATGCCGTCTATGTTACAAGGTGAGTTAGTATGCGGTCTACCATATATATATACATATATAAGTTGGGTTAGTTGTACTCAGCACCCAATTTGAAGAATTGCTCGTATTCATCAAATCTTCCTTGTGTGTTGATTGATTATTCACATTTGTTAATCAGCTTCTTTTTACACAGTTTTCTCTGATTAAACTCTGAGAATGTCATCATTCCAAGACATTCAGAGAGGTTTCGCGTGCTCTTCGAGCTGCACTTCGGTGCCAAGTTCTATGTTGAATCCAGACAGACAGACAGGACATTCAGAACATCAATGTTGCAATATATGTAAAATCCTGAGTCGCATCATCCTGGAGAGAATAAAGGATGCACTGGATACAGAACTGCAACCAGAACAAGCTGGATTCAGGAAAGGCAAATCGTGTTCTGACCAAATTGCAACTCTACGCATCATTATCATCGAACAAAGCATGGAATGGTAATCAAATCTCTACCTCAACTTTATAGACTTTGAGAAGGCCTTCGACAGCGTTGATCGCGAAGTAATTTAGAAACTACTCGAGTACTACGGCGTACCCCAAATATTCATCAACCTTATTCAACAGCTGTACGACAACGGCACATGCCAAGTGATCCACAACGGAAAACTCAGCGAGGCGTTTGGAGTAAACACAGGAGTCAGACAAGAGTGCTTATTATCACCAATGATATTCCTAATTGTGGTGGACTGGATCATGCGTCAGACAGTGGGAAACGAGGAGACAGGGATATTCTGGACCGACGTGAATAACCTAGAAGACCTGGATTTCGCGCGTGGATGACTTATGTTTCATGTCACACAAAATCGAAGACCTACAAGCGAAAACCGACAAACTGATCGAAGAAGCAGCAAAGACAGGACTCCAGGTGAACATAGACAAGACGAAGGTTATGAAAATAACTAACCAACAACAACAGCAGCAACATCCAACGCCAATCACCATCAACGGGAGGGATTTGAAAGAGGTTACTTCAGTCACTTATCTAGGGAGCATTGTCTCAACTACAGGAGGAACGGACGAGGATGTCAAATCGAGAATCGGGAAGGCGAGAAACACATTCATCAAGCTGAAACCAATCTGGAAATCTTCGTCACTCAACTCAGCTTCATCAACAACAAAATTTGGATTTTCAATACAAACGACGTCAAGTCGGTCATTTCTTCTATACGGATCAGAAACTTGGCCAGTGTGTCACAAAGAATATTTCCAACAGCCTGTTGCACACCTTTATCAACAACTAACTGTCTTCTCTCTACACTGAAGATCAGATGGCCGGAAAGAAACACCAACAGGAGACTATGGGAACAAACAAAACAAGAACCAATCACCCAACAAATATGCAGGAGAAAGTGGAGATGGATTGGACACTCGCTGAGCTGAGGAGGTCGCTGGGTGACATCGCGCGTCAGGCCATAGCTCGAGTGTAACCCGAAAGGGAGGTGGCGAGTAGTGGGATGTCCAAGGGTGACATGGAGGAGATCGTGTGAAGAGGAGTTGAAACAGTATGGATTAACATGGAGGCAGGTGAAAAGTATAGCAGAAAACAGAAGGAAGTGGAGACGTGTAGTTGAAGCCCTATGCTCCACTAGGAACCCAAGGGAACAACAACAAACTACATGTATGTAAACATGTTGAGTAGTTTTAGTCACGTCAATACTTCAATTGTCACTAGGGTTGTGTATTGAGACAAAAAAAGCCTTAAATTGCAAGAATTTTTATCTAATGTAGAGCTGTGAATAATAATAATATTTATGTGGGAAGCCATAAAAGGAAGAAGTGTACAACAGCAACAACCTTATATATAGCTGAGGTTGGTGTTAGGCTTCGGTCTTCTTCTACAAATGTTCTCATGTGGCTTCGAATTCATATTCTCTATCAAGTAATTATTGATATAAGTATAAAACTTGGGCACTATGGCGGTAGAGTACAACTCAATTATGGATAGGATTTTATTTTGATAAATCACACAGTGTTGTTATAAAGTAATATTAACTGATGACCACGTTTCGAGCACAAACTATTGCCACTCATAATCATATCAAGTTACTCACACAACTTTTTTCCTTCATTTATGTACATGTGTGGAATCGATTAGATATTGGAATAAAATTCAATATGAGATAATGTACATTCAGAAATAATAATACGAGTGTTATTGATCAATTGCAATCAGATGGGAAATAAGACGAGTGTTTTTATAGTCATAATAAGTAACTTGTTAGAATGTTGTGATGTGCTTGAATTGGAATAGAATGTTAAGATTATTTATTATCCTCCTCTGATTGGACTGGTGGTAATAATATCTTCCATATTACTGGTATTTGCATTGAGTCATTTCTGTTGCATGTGTTGGGTGTAGACTCGATGAACCAGGTAGGATTCAGTAATCAATCTCTCTCTCCATCAACATAGATTACTTCCTAGAATCCTAACTCTCTCCCACCATGCTATTGTGTGGTTGTTTGTTAATGCATGTAGTGCAATGCAGTGCTGAGCTTTTTTCTAAATTACTTATCTTCTCGGGTTCAACCATTCTTACCTTAGCTAAATTCTTATGTTCCGACAATTTGATTACCCCTGACCTATTACTGATTACTAGTTTGACCTATGTAGTTGACCTCACGCACAGTCATTGCAAGGTATTTTGTTAATTATGTTATTTTTTAATTGGGTCCATCGGGTCTTTTAGCCTACAGAGCTTGTCCTACCTGAGTGAGTTTGTGGGTTTGAATGCCACCCTAATTCCTGCTTTATTAAGAATCCTAAGTAGGACCTTAGATGTTCCTTCCTTATGTGGTATAACAGTAGATTACTTATATTCTCTCTTATTTATGTTATCACTACTAGTTTCACCATTATTTTTATTTTGCTTTTGGCCTTTACTGATCTTCCTAATGAATTTTATAGGATAGTTAGTTATTTAACACCAACGCCTCTTCTATCTGTTGTATTTCATCATTTAGGTCTTTTTTTGTGCTACTTCCCTGACTCAGTGGGGGTTGTTATAACTCTGTTGCCAATTTGTTATAACTGTGAACTGAATGGAACGGAACTGAATAAATCCGTTGCTACTACTTTGTTATGTCTGCGCCTGTTAACTACTATATAACGGTAATGAACTCGACTGGTACGCTAATACGTCTATTTGTCCGTTATATCGCATCCGATTCACTGAGCTAAGCAAAGTATCAGAAGACAAAGGCTGACCTCTGACTATAAGATACTGTATTATACTGTACCACACTATATGGTTTAAGAAACAACACATGGTATTTACACATGGGAATATATTGTTCTTATTGGCTGGAGGAGGTGTCTATTCTGATTGGTTATGGTGATCAGACAAAGATCAAGGTGAGACAAAAGAAGATGAATTGATCTCACACACTGAATCACAATGTGCGTGAGAAATGATACATTCACATACAAAGTAACTCCATCACATGATAAATCACACAATTCGAGATAAAGGATGAAATACTATTTTATACTGGGTCCTACCAGGGGATGTTCTTCACAGAATTGAAATGGACGCAATGCGAATGTCTAGTGCGATTAAACCGGACTGGTCGAGATATGCTAGTCTACTTTGGGGAGTTGAAATGCCCTGATTACAAGCTTATGGTGTACATGGGCTTCGGAATCCGAAAGGATTGAATGGCATATGAACCTGTTCTGATCATTGCCATCCATTGGAAAGCAGCTCCTGACACTGTTCCACCGCCTTATGGATCACATATCAAGTTCAAAGCTCGGTGTATAGTCCCTTAAGACAATCACCTATTTTAGTCTCGACATCGAGGCAGTATCCCAACCCTTGTACAAAATATAAAATCTTGGTGGCCATAATGTTTTGGAATTTTGAGTTTTTTGGATAATAATGAGGTGGGGATCCTATGATTAATCAGGTGAGAAGACTAAAGCATAGTTCAGCAAATTAAATTGAATGACATAACGTAACGTAACTGACAGGAGTGAGTACATTTCAATGAAAATTGAAAGAAGATCAATGTTAAAGGGAGTAGAGGTAAAGAGAAAAAACAAAATAAAAATACATGGAAGTTACACGTCAAATGTTTAAATAAATTAGGTCCATTTTAAGTTAAGTGACTGATTGAGTTCAAGATTTGACATATAGATTAACTATGGCTTCTGTCGGTGTAAGAAGTTTGATTTAGTTCTATAGGTGATTCTGAAGTTGGTTTTCCGATTTCGCTTGGCGTCCAGAATCGATCAAGTTTTCCAGAGTAAAGCTACACAGGGAATTTGTTTTCCTTCTGTGAAACCATGAGGGGATTGCAGACACTGAAATATGCCGACATGAGCAAATGAATTAATGAGTAATACAAATTGATGCGGCTAGCAGTGGTAGCTTATCCTTCACTTTTATACGACTCATTCATTTTGTAGCGAGATTATATTTCGAAGTTCAACTGTGAAGAGGCATCACAGTAAACTGTATTCATCAGATGCACGTGAATACCCATGTTCTAGGTGAATTCACTTCCACAAAGTTTGTTATGGAATTAGTGTAGTGGATGTTTGACATTCTTCTTCGGAGTGGAGCACACGGTTTCAGGAGCACATCTCCTTCTTATTATATTCTTTGCAGTCTTTTATAACTGGCTCTACAGTTACCCATAAGCTTTCATTACTTCCCCATACACGATCTCTTCCATGTGAATCTCGAATTCGCGCCCAACTCTTCATTTTCCAATTGGGTTCCACTAGAGAGGTTTCCCACGTGATATCGCTCAACGGCCTCCTATTTTTTAAAATTCCTTTACGCTCCCAGTGCTGGAACATAGGGCGCCTTCAGGTTAGAGGCTTGAAGTTCCGGTAGCAGTGGTATTTATTTTTACGGGATGGGGTTGCTAGTCGGCCTCATGACCACCAACCTTCCCTGTTTACCAGTCTTATTACTGGCTTAGCGAGGTAAAGGAGTGCGTCAGTGGCCGGGAATCGAACCCCGAACCACATGCGTAGTCGGCGAACATCCTATCGCTGTGCCACTGACGCACAACGACTCCCTTAATTATTTTTAATTGTGAACAGTGTAAAGTACCAGGAACATAACGCCGGTTTAGATATGATGGACAGTACACAGGAAACGAAATCTAATTTTGTTAATTATGTCAGTTAGAATTGGTTGGTTTGTAAGGATTAGATTTGTCTTTTTTCAAGTTTGACCACGGATTGATATCAGTTAGTGAACCATTGAAAACCAGGAAGTACTGGGCAGCTCTCTTCGTCCTGGTTTGAGACTCATCGGCCCTGGAGTTCTAGCGAGAAGTTGTGACTAGTGAGGTCTATTCAGTATGGAGTGAGAATGGAGTTCCCACCGATGAAATTGGTTGGTGGTCACACTAAAATCATGAGTTGGTAGAAGTTAGAATTCATGGGCTGGCCATTGAATTGGGCCTCAGTGGCTGAGTAGTATACGAGCTCGTCTTGGTAACTAAATGGAAGGTCGCGGGTTCGAACCCTGGTTGATGGTTGCGTACTGACGATGATTCACAGACTAGGATGAAACAGTTGTCCAGTACTCCCTGTTTTTTTGTTAATGGTTCTGTAACTGATATTAATCAGGGGTCAAACTCAAAATGGACTCTTTATTTTGCCGTGGAATTCAGGAAAGAGGTAATAATCGTTAACCTAATAAGTGACCATTTGTCATGAATCATTTTCTAGTATTCATCCCGAATGGTAGCTGCTACCTTGACGTTAGTGTTCGGGTTTGCATATTGCAATGAACCAACGAGCTACACTGGCTAGGACTAATGTTCCTGCAAGTCTTTTCATTCCAGGAATATCGTCTAGATAACGGTTAGACTAAACACAGTTGTCATCACAGTGTAGGCTTGAGGGTGAAGTTGTACTGGTGGCGAATAGGGATGTAACAGTGGTTAGGTATTTCCCTCGGATGAACAGCAACCTGGAAATGTTGCTTCTGGGCTCTATGGAAAATACCGACCCCGAAAAATGTACATCTTGACGGTGGTAAGATCTTAATATGGACGCAACTCCAAAAACTAATTCAAACACAGCGCGTGTGACCAGTCTCAATGTAGCTGTCCCCCGGGATTTCGCGGTCACGCAAGACTAATATTCGTTCTGTTTCAGGCACCCCAAGAAAAAAATTAACTTATATGGTGTGGGTAACCGGGAGGGAATAACCACCCACACATTTCGAATACCACTTCCCTTTATTATTCATCCAGCTCCTGATATCTAACACTTACAAAGTGTCAGCTTGTTTTCTGTAAAACCTCCAACATAACATCTTGAAGATGTATGTAACTTTCAAGTTTGAGTTGTATTATTTTTTGATCGCACATGCTTAGTTTCTTAAATTGTGGTATAATTAGACTAAAACACCCTGAGCAGCAATCTGCGAATGTTTTGCGTGCGATTCGCTCCCGTCAAGTGTAAGATAATGCTACACGACTGGACTGCATTGACTCACTCCTAGCTTAAAGGTAGGCAGGTGTGAACTGGCGGCTGAGCATGTTGACCACTTCACTTATTTGGGGAGTCGCATGAGCCAGCCAGTGCCAGTGGGTTGATTGCTGACGAAATCTCTGCACGGATACAGAAGACTCGTTTCGCATATGCCAGTTTACGCCTTCTCTGGCTTAGCTGACGTGATATCCGTCTGGCTGTTGACCAAAGGACATGTGTACTGCTCAGCAGTCCGCTCCGTCCTCCTTTATGGCTGTGCAACATCGCCATTAGGAATGGAAGACATGAAACGCGTGGCTAGCTGTTTTTGATCGCAAGTGCCTGCGTTCTATCTCCCGTGTTAGGGGGTAGGTGTAATAAGGTGAGCAATATTGAGGTTAGGCATCGGTCGATTGCTGGGTATGGAGGGAAAATCAATCGATGAGGTTGTGGAGTTACACCGACTGAGATAGTTAGGATATGCGTTGTTACGCATGCCTAGCCATCGCCTTCCTCAAGTGACGAGCAATGTTAGCTGATATGGGACCACTCAGATTGGAAAAGAGTTAGCTAGTGGTGGTCAAACCAAAACATGCCTTCATCAGTCAATGAAATCCATAACAGTTAGTTTAATCCACGTTAGGAGGTGTAGACTGACTTCCTGGTTGGAGTCCTCAGAATGCTGAAAGCCAACAGCGAAAAAGCAATTAGTGATATTGTTTAAAATCCGAGTTCTCAATGGCTTGCGTAGATGCATTCACTTTTTGTGATTTGTCAAATCCAATAAAATTCTATTGTTCTTCCATATTACTATTCCCTTCGTCTCACATTTAGGTTTTTATTATCACTATTTTTGAATGTCTGTCTTCTCTTGCTTTGTGTGCTACATGGAGGGATTGCGGCAACGCGAACTGCTGCACATCAATGCAAAGTTTTACTTTGAAACCAGTCAGTCAGATATAATTACAATATATATATATATATATATATATATATATATATGTATATTGATGTGGTTGTGTTCTCCGAGCTGGATAGTTAATTTGCGAAGCTTTCATCGCCCTACTAGGGAACATCTTCAGCGCATACTTCAATTCAAGTTGAAGTGAGCTTTTAGATATCTCCACGAGTTTATTAATCATCTCTCCTGGTGGGTCACGCTGAACGTCGTGATTGGTTGTATTTGTGTGTTTTCACACTCTCTAGGCAACTTGTATTGGAACTGATTGTTTTTTTGACTTGAACTTTGACCCTTTGTGTGTGTGAGGTTTCCTTCTTATCTCTTATATCTACCTCGATGTGTCTGTCGATTGGTGATTCACTGGAATACCAAGCGGGCTTCGTGAAATTCCCTAGCATTCTTGGTGTTTCCTCTGTCTAGAGAATTTTTAGAAGCTTGGCATTCCAGTGAATCATCAATCAATAGACACATCAAGACAGATAAAATTTATCAACCGATAAGAAGGAAACCTCACACACACAAAGGGTCAAAGTTCAAGTCAAAGAAACAATCAGTTCCAATACAAGTAGCCTAGAAGGTGTGAAAACACACAAAAACAACCAATCACGACGTTCAGGGTGACCCACCGGGAGAGATGATTAATAAACTCGTGGAGATATCTAAAAGCTCACTTCAACTCGAATTGAAGTATGCGCTGAAGATGTCGACTAGTAGGGCGATGAAAGCTTCGCGAATTAACTATCCAGCTGGCTCAGAGAACACAACCACATCAAAATCATCCACCTGAGCTACGAATCTTCTCTATCATGTATCGCTTACTCAATCATTATGGGTCTTCCTTTTCACCTAATTTTAGTGATTTGTAACATTGTCGAATTAACAACACATACTAGTTATGCTTATGTCTCTACTCTCTTGGTTAACCTTATTATTTATAGGTCGACGTGAAGCATGTGCCGGTGTTTTAACTGCACGAAATCTGATTGTTGTTATCGGTGGTGTAATAAATACAAACAGTGCGTATAGAAGTAGTCCAAATATCACAGTGGAAGCATTGGATCCACGTTGTGCTGCTTGGTTCTATATTCCTAATCCGCTAGCCAATTCAATTGGACAATTGCGTAGCGCCAGTCTTACATATTGTCCAAATGTAAAAGGTAAGCGATAAAAGTGTTGTTGTCAGATAAAAGTGAAAAAAAACACTACAGTATTTTGATGGGAAACGTTTTGTGTTGATTAACAGAACTAGTTGTTTCACACACACACTGCTCCTGTATAATTGAGAAATATTTCATGTGATAAAAAATTTTCACAGGTTTAATCACCAGCTGACATCTGTTTGTAGAACTGTCGGTGACTACTGGACAGTTACTTTTCTTTACAACCTGGTTTGGGACTTTCCAGCAGTACGCTCTGACGTCAACTCGTGCCCGAACGTGTAACCAACGAAATCCTGACAAAACAATACTCGACTGATTTCTACACAATAAGTTATTTGGAGTTCTAATGAGAGAGAGAGAGTGAGAGAACGGTTACTCTCCGATGACACCGACTGGCAGTTGCGCTTTATATTGCTAATGGACGGAAATTCGGTCCCGTTGGTTAGATGATCTACGAGCCCGGAAGGTCCTGGGTTTGAACCCAAGTGAGTACTTGCTACTGAAGAGTTCCAGACTAGGACGAAATAGCTGAATAGTACTACCTGGTTTTCTAACTGATGTGAGCTCGTAATCATACCTGTTAACCAATAAAATCCTTGGAAATCAATACTTGGAGAACAAATTATTTACTTCACTACATAGAGTAGGGTCTACTTGAAAATATGCTTCACTCACTATTCGTTAAATTTCATTGCACTGGCCTGCGTATTCTACATCATAATTAAGCGCTAATTGAATGCTTATGGTAGTTTTAGTTGTCACAGTTGCGGAGGTGATTCTTCCTTTGTATTAACAGTGTCCTTTGATATTTTGCTGTGAAATCCTAAGGCGTATTCTGATTCAAAGCTTATGGAACGCATTTTCAAATTGATTATCAATGAACGCTGGCGTTAAATCAAATTTTATCACAGTTTCCTTTGCATACTGAAATTATTCAGATCACGATATATGATCTCTGTAGTACCATATCAAATGCTTTTGCTTCAAATCTTGATTTGCTTACAATTCTATCATACTCATACGTGTTCCTTTGATCACGTTTGTCAAAGTAAGAAGGTGGTGGTGGTGGTGGTGGGAGGCGCTAGTGACTGTCCTTCGCAAAATCAGTCCAGTATCTGCAGAAACTCTAACTCAGTAAAAATGTGTAAAAACTTATCCTTCTCTGGAATCAGGGAGACAGAATGACGTGTACTGATGAAATATCGAAACTGCTACTTTAACTCTCTGGTTCAGTCAAGATGCTAAAAGCTGGAAAAGCAGCAGGACCAGATGGAATCCCAGCAGAAGCGTTGAAAATAGACCCAGAGACAACAGCGGACTTGATGACGCCACTGCTGGAGAAGGTATGGAAAGAAGGCAAAGTACCCCAGGATTGGAAGAAAGGCTACTTATTCAAACTACCAAAGAAAGGAGACTTAAGTCAATGCAAGAACTGGCGCGGAATTATGCTCCTGTCCATTCCAAGCAAAATACTAAGCAGAAAAACTTCGACTGGAACAGGCTGGATTCAGGAGAAACAAGTCATGCATTGATCAGATCGCCACATTACGGATCATCATTGAACAAAGCTTGGAATGGCAGTCACCTCTCTATCTCAACTTCATCGACTTTGAAAAGGCCTTCGACAGCGTCGATCGAGAGGTGATTTGGAAACTACTTCGCTACTACGGGGTGCAGCCGACAATAATACATCTCATCCAACAGTTGTACGACAATGCTGCATGCCAAGTAATCCACAAAGGGAAACTTACGGAATCCTTCGAAATGAGGACAGGAGTAAGACAAGCTGGATGCCTACTATCGCCAATGATTTTCCTGACCGCAGTAGACTGGATAATGCGACAGACAATGGGCAATGAAGAAACAGGCATAAAATGGACTCACACAAAAAACCAACTTGGAGGATCTGGACTTCGCCGATGATGATATATGTCTGATTTCCCACAAACTGGAAGATATGCAAGCGAAAAGCAACAAGTTGGCAGAAGAAGCATCAAGGATAGGACTTCAGGTGAACATAGAGAAGACAGAGGTGATGAAGATTCCCGGGCATCACTACCAACAGCAACAACAGACAACAATCAGCATAAATGGGAGGAACCTGAAAGAAACTACCTCTTTAACCTACCTGGAAAGCATCGTTTCAACTACAGGTGGAACTGACGAGGATACAAACGTCAAGTCACTTCTTGTATACGAATCAGAGACTTGGCGCGTCATAAAAAGCATCTCAAACAAACTACAGACCTTCATCAACAGCTGTCTTCGATCAATACTCAAGATCAGATGGCCGGCCAGAAAAGATCAGCAACAGAGATCTCTGGGAGCGAACCAACCCAGCAGGAACCGATTGTGAAACAAATATGCAGAAGGAAATGGAGATGGGTTAACCATACTCTGAGGAAACCATGAAGTGACATCACTGGACAAGCCATTGCTCGAGTGGAACCCGAAAGGGAAGCAGCGAGTCGGTGGTCAATGCATGGGTGACTTGGAGGAGGTCATGTGAAGAGGAGATGAAGGCGTGTGGACAGACTTGGAGCCAGGTGAAGACTCTAGCAGAGGACCGAACGCAATGGAGACGCACTGCTGAAGCCCTATATTCCTCTAGGAATTAAAGGTTATAATAAATAATAATATATGTAGATATTCATCTGTCGTGTTTACAATTTGTTTAATCTCTTGTCTCGATATGACATCAGTTAGAGAGTCCTTGTAAAACCTGAGAGTTTGGGACTCTTCCAGTACTCCCAGGTTTTCCAATAGTTCTCTAACTGATGTCAGCTCATGATGAAATCCTCCAATCAATCAAATGAAATCCCTACGAAAACCGATACTTGAAAATCTGTTATCAATATTGAAATTTAGTTATTTTTTTGAAATGTGTCCTATATATTTATTTATGAATTGCTATTGTTTAAATGAAGAAACTTCTAAATTATTGACCTTGGTGAATAATATTTGAACACAGTCAGTTAGCCAGCCGGGAGAGATTTTTTAATCTACCATCAGGATATGTGACATACATATTGTGTGAAGCTTCATGATACTCTGCCCAATTGCTCAGACTAAAGTGTTATACACTGTCGGGAGGGTGGGGTGGGGTGCTGTGGGAACTTGAACTGGCGACCCATTGGCGGCTGTATGTCGAGTGTTTTAGCCAACGATCCATTTTGACTACAACACACACATCTAGATGGATGTATATCTAGAGTTCTAATTTAAGTTATCACAAAGTTCTGAGTAGAACATAGGGCTCGTTCAGCTTGTTAAGCTTTGAAGTTCCAGTGTGGGGTTACACCCAACCATCCCTGTTAACTTGGCTCACTACTACTACTACTGCTAATAATAATGATTTGCATTATTCCAAAACAGTACTTATGATACAGTGTGGAATTTTCAGCATTTTGTTCAATACTGTATCTAATTTACTGAACAACAGTAACAACAACAACAGGAAAAATACATTATAGGGTATATTATACCTAACCGAAATTGATATCAGCAACTTTTGGCATTAGTACAAACAGTACGGTCAAAATGTGCAAATATAAGATAATAAGAATAATAATATTATTATCAAGTGTTGGTTTTGTACGGATTTTTGTTTGATTGGTTGGAGGATTTCATCATGAGCTGACATCAGTTAGAGAACCATTGGAAAACCAGTTGGGAGTACTGAACAGATGTTTCGCTCCAGTTTGGGACTCTTCAGCAGTACGCATCCACATCACGGGGTTCGAACCCAGGACCTTCTGGTTACCAATCAGATAATAATATTAGTATTAGTAACACAAACTTGTAAGATAATGGGCATAGTCAGTGTCACCATAAATTTACAATTACTGGAGAATAACTGAGCCATTTTTTTATGCTAATTACACAGTATGTCGTAAACTTCACGTTTGACACTGTCTCTATCACATAGAACGTGGACAAAATACAGTATCGTTGGGTTTCTGTGCTCGATTGTACGAGCATATAATCTTTTATAATGACTTTTAGTCCTATGTGATGTGATGCAAGGCGGGGAGAGTTGAAAACTGATGGAGTGTTGAGAGTCACACAATACAGATTTAGACTATTTTTCACATGAGTGCTGATATCTGTTGACTTTGATAGTAACGAGCTGCTTAAGTGCCACACCACTGGCCCTACTGACAATCTCCGGTACGTTTCTCCTCAGTATGAAGTAGCTGCTTTTGAGCAGCCCAGGAAAGACTAGAGGAGAGCAATAAAGACCAGTAGGTAAGATGCAAGAGTTAAAAAATTGTAAAAGTAGAGTTTGAGTGATTCCAGATTACCTTAACTTCTTAGTGTAGTCGGTCAGACGGAATGTTTTCTTAGAGGCAGACAGGGTATGGGATGACCAAGAAAGGTCAGAGGATAGAACTATACCAAGGTACTCTCTGCTTGACTTATTCTCTATATCAGTGCGCTCTAAGGTAAAAGCATCGTGTGAACTAACGACTTCGACAAGGCGAGGTTTAGGACTGCGCTGACTGGACATTCTACCTCTGGAACATCAACTCACCAAAATGTACCTCGTGATTATTGTCGTTTTAACAACTTAGGTCAGATTCCCTTTATTCCGTATGGAAATTTCTATGCTCAGTTTTTAAAGGTATATTTTCTTCACGTTTTCTAACCAAAAACAAATGTTTCTCCCTATTTTATTAGATAATTTATTACTAGTCGGTGGTTATAACGGCCAAGAAACCTTGGATGCAACATGGATATTCGACTCAGCCGCATGGAAATGGCGTTCTGGACCAAATCTACTCTTTGCTCGATCCAGTTGTGGTGCCACACTGACATCTGATCAAAGATGCAATTTGATATTCGGTGGTTATAATCCAACAAAATCTTCATGTGGATTCTTAGATACAATTGAAGTGATTTTTTAATCGATTTTCTTTTTCTTTTGACTTCAATTTTCCTTTTTTCTTCTCACCAATCTCCGCATATGTGTGTATGTGCGCGAGCGCCCTCCTGAATATGAATACCGGTTATGTAATTCCCTGCATTGTTGTATAACCCAATTTGATCATCATCATCATAACGATCATTTTTTCATTTTGATCTCAACCACAACATTTGTTTCCTTTCATCTGATTATTCATTTATTTTGTTTATTTCATTTAAATAAATCTAATTTTGGATAATATTTCAGAGAAATTTGTTTTCTGGTGTTGTTGTTGGTGTTGTCTTCGCATCATTAGAGTGCTCTTGTGCGCGCTCGCTCGCTCATCTTTCAAATACACTGTGTTGTCAACTTTTTATGCACAGGCTGTTTTTCTCCTCGTGTGTTATACATCCCTGCAATACAATGTAGGTAGTTGATTGGTTAAACTTCTATGTTTCATATCTGTACTTCTCCTTTTCCTTCGCCTCCTCAACCTCCTACTCCTAATCCTACTTCTGCTAGATACCTTTTCACCTCTATCGGTTTTGTTTATTCGTAGAACTACACACATACACATATATAACTTTAGTTTGCATACATGATTTTAATTAACCGTATCTTCATCAATATTAAGTATTATTGTTCTTATTATATAACCCCCCCCAGTATTCATGTATACCCTCTTGCCCCCACCACCCCGCTGCCGACCTATCCTCCCTCCTCCTCCACATATATATATGTACACATTTGGGTTCTTTGGTTTCCTTGGATGATTTAACCTTCTGTTGTTTCTTTCTTTTTTTATGTAAAAAAGTATGCGTGTACACTTTTTGTGCACATATATATGTATATGTAAATCTCTAAAATTCTGGCTCACTGTGCGTGCTGACTTATGCGATTGAATGAGTTATGTAATTCAGTTGTAGATATTCCTGTCGATTGATTGGACTGAAGTACTCTGTCGTAGGCTGACATGTCGACTGCTTGTGTAGATGCTTCAACGATGTCTGGTCTGGATGGTGACTAGCAGTGGAATCCACCAGGTTGCGCATCTCGTCCTAATTGGAACTTGTTTGCCAGCTGCTGGATGTACCTGCATTCCCGAGTCAGTGGGTGATGATGTTTTCCCCCTGAGGCTCGAATCCAAGGGGCCGTAGTTACAAACGCCATGTCATCCTGATGAGACCGAGCACTTCAGTTCAATCAATCGACTGGGAAATCTACAAGTGAATTAAATAATTAATAGGCTCCGTTGCACAAGAGGGATGGCCCTAGCGGGCAGTGCTTTGGCTGACCAGTTCCAAATAGGACGAAATGCGCATCCTGGTGAATTCCACTGCTAGTCACCATCATCCAATCGACTTCAAGATGAACGGGTTAGTTTATGTTACACAATAACTATTCGCCTTTCCTGTGCGGTGGGGTGGGGGTTGGTTTGACTTGATTAGATTTCCAAGTGAATACTGTTCCAACACAGTGATGATGATCACAGAACTAGAATTCGTGGATTCCTGTTAACCGTCATCTCAACACAACCATACTATAGCGAGGATAAGTCGGCTGCTGTTCTCAGACTGAGAAGACACAAGCGACTGGCTCTAGGATGGGCAAGGTGTAGTTATCCTACGCGAAAGGCTATATAACTAGAAATTACAAATGTATAGTTATTTTACAATAACGAGAATAATTACTAGTTCACAATGCAAAAAACAATGTTTTTTGTTCAGTTGACTGGCCTATTCTGTCAGGTTCCTTTAACTAGGCCTTGGATCAATCAATCAGTGTGTTAAGGTTAATTCATGGAAAATTCCCATTGTAACATATAGAAAATATAAAAACAAATATTTCAGCGAAGAGACTCTTTTCAACAACGAATTTATCATCAGGCTGTACAATCGTATACATATATGGTTTTTAAGAAGTTATATCGGGTGAGGGAATTGAATCATAGGTGTGAATGCATGAATTAATAATAATAGTAGTATGAAATGCAATTAAAACTAAAATATTTGTGATTATAATCGTAGTTAAATGTGAAGTCGCAAAGCAAATTAATGTCATATATAGAATAATTCGTAGGATGGATAGAACTTGAAAAAGGGGGTGCAATTATAAGATTAGTAGACAAATCGAATAAAATAAAAACATCACGTAATATTGTGTGAAATTTAATAGCATAGAATTTAACATTGTAAAAAAATTGCTTTAGAATGACAAGTGAAATAATACCGGGGACAATTAAAAGTGAGAGTAGTAATAGTAACAATTGACGTAATAAGGAAGAGTATACAAATTGAATAGACAAAAATGAAAAATTGGTAGAGCTAAAATATGATTGGGGATTACCATAATTTAGCATAGAGGGATTAAGACCATGAAAGTTGGAGGGGAGGGGTATACAGAGATCTGGCTTTTCTGTTTCGATAGCCAAAGCTTCAGCAATACAGATGAGTTGGGTACGTAGGGATTTGGGTAAATTACTTTTTGCCTTGTAGATGACTTTAAAGGCGGAGGCTATAGAGAGTCTCTTTGCTGAATCACTCTTTTTGATTTTCTTTAAGGTTAATTGTCTGGTTTACAAATCACGTGAAGACAAAAGTGACTCATAATACGTGTCACCTCCCGGGGTATTTAAACAAATGAAATCACCGCGATTCATTGCTTCCATCTGATTGATATGTAGAAAGGAAAAAACATGTCAGAGTTTAATATAACGTTGATATATTAGAAGTGGTGAGTTATACTTGTCGTGTTTGCTGTCTTACTAAATTGTAAAACATTTGAAAGTACTAGGAAACTCGAAGAGACAGTATTAAGTAGTATAATGTGGTGATGAACAATATTTGAGGTTACGTGTACAGTTTTAAGTGGAGACGCGAAGTCAATCGATGAGGTTGTACCAATATTGTTATGACTAGGACACGTTTTACGTACGTGCCAAGCCATCACCTTCTCTATTGAACAATGTTAGGTTGGAAAGCGCAGTTAGGCATGATCAAATCAAGACCTGGTGCAATTCCATAAAATTTTCGACAATTGAATTAGGCCGTGTAGAGAAGGGTAGATTGCCTAGTTAGAGTTTTTTGAGACGCTAAGGTCAAACTCCAAGAGTAAATCCGTTTACTTCATCGAAGAACACCATTATTACATGAATACATTGAAACGTCAAGTTGCTTTTCAGAGATGGTAGTTACTTGCATACTTGAAAATCCATTTTCCAATGTTTCGTATGATATAATTCCATCAAGTTATAAGTTTTCATTATTCACTGGCTATCCCTGACGAAGAACAACAATGAGGATAATAATAATAATTTGCTTTATTCCAAAACAGTACTTGTGATACAGAATGCAATTCTCAGCATGTTTACTACAGGATTGCATCCAGTTAGTACATTATCAATAAATAAAATTCTACATAGATTATGGGTAATCTCAGTTCATTATGACAACAACACATTGGCATGTCGGTAGCAAAGCCAAAGTTGAACAGTGTTTGAAGGTGTTAGAAAAGTAGGTGCTATCATATTTACTGGCGTAAGCTGGAGAAAGAAACAAAGCAGCACATAACGAAAAAAGAGAGAAAAGGAAAAGAAAGAAAATGTTGTACGTATAAATGATATGAGTTGGAAAGACGAGATCCAGTTGTTCTACTGACTATTTAATAAGTTATAGGTATCACGCCTAATGCTTTCTTTATCGCACAGAACACGAGCTAAGTAGGGTATGGTTGAGTTTTTGTACTTGCTGGTGAGAGCATATAGCTTTCTATATAGGCTTCTGGTTCTGCCTGATAAGATGCAAGGGGAGAGTTGTGAATGAAGAGGATGGTGTGAGTTAGATAGAATGGATTTGGCCCATTTTTCACATGAGTCCATATGCCTGTCAACCAGAATATTAACAAGCTGGTTAAGTGGCACGTTGCTTACCCTGTTGACAACCTTTAACATCCTACGTAATAATAAGATATAGTCTTTCTTCAGTAGCCCTGGAAAAACTAAGGGAAAACCACAAAGAATAATAGGCAGAATGCGAGAGTTAACGAATTGTAGGAGTAAGGGTTGGGTTATACCAGAGTGTCTTAACTTCTTGATGTAGAAGGTAAGATGGAATATTTTCTTAGAAATCGTCAAGACATGAGACGACCAGGAAAGATCAGCAGATAGAATGACGCCAAGATATTTAATTTCCGACTTGGTTTCTATCTCAGTGCCATCTATGTAGCACACCTCGTGAGTGCTAACCAGTTTGTTTAGGTCGGATTTATGCCTAAAGGTGAAATTGACTGTTTGGCATTTGGAGGGGTTTAAGGTAAGACCGTTTTCCTTGGACCACTGGCTGATTTCTGATAGAAAGCCATTTAGTTTAGAGCAGTCACTTTGACACTTGACAGGCAGAGATACAGTCAGGTCGTCTGCATATTTGACAAAATTAATGTCATTTGAAGATGGTAAGTCTTGTAGAAAGAAAGAAAAGAGAAGTGGAAAGAGTACAGAGCACCTTGGGGGACACCAACTTCAGTCAAAGGCAGGATTGTAGAAGCAAAGCACTCCCTCGTTCATCTGAAATCGGTAAGGAAATCTACTGTGTATAGCATAGAGAACTAGATTCGAATTTCCAACACTAATATCAAGGCAGACACAGCGGTAGAATGTTCGTCAACCAAGTAGGTGGTTCGGGGTTCGATCTCCTGCTGATGCACTCCTTTACCTTACTAAACGAGTAATAAGACTGGTAAAGGAGGAAGGTTACGCATGAGGCTAGCAACTCTACTGCTACCGAAACTTCAAAGCCCTAGCTCGAAGCCCCCCATGTTCCACTGGGCACGGCTCAGAGACTTGATGCATCTCCAAATACATTTCCAACAGTCTTCGGACTTGTATCAACAGTCATGCTGAAGATCAGATAGCCAGACAGAAAGTATCAGCAAAAAGGAACTATTGGAACAAACAATCTATAGCCTTAAAAATGCATTGAAAGGAATGGAGACGGACTGGACACACTCTGAGTAGAATTTTAGGTGGAATCAATAAGCTAAGACTCGAGTACAACCAGGTGTGGTGACAATCAGAAATTCTACACCAGATTAGACTGTGGCCGGACCAAAACGTGGCTTCATCAGTCAATGAAATCCACGACAGTTAGCTGAAGCTAGTAACGTAGGAAAGTGTAGACTTCCTGACTGGTTGGGGTCCTCGGGAGGGTAAAAACCAATGGCGGCTGGAGACAATTTTTGATATGGCTCAAAATCATTCTGAATGACTGGCACAGGTACATCCACTCCTTGTGATTTATAATGTCCAATAAAACTTTATTGTTCATAGAGAGAGTGTGGCGACTCGAGCTGCTGCACATCTCTGCGAAGTTCTATATTGAAACCAGTCAAGTGGAGTCCTATTGGGAAAAGAGGAGTTGGTCGTGTGTGTGTGTGATGGAGGACGAAAGGGTGGAGATTGTATGAGAAGAAAATGATAGCTTGTGGATAACTATGTAAACGTCTGAAAAGTGCTACAGAAAACAGGATGAAATAGAGGCGCGCTGTTGAAACTCTGTTTTCCACTTGGTAGCCATGGCAAGCAAAATAATAGATTAATGCAAAATACTGAAGTGTCCGGTTTTAGTAATAGTTTCAGTAATAATCAGATGCTCGTCAGTGACTTGCTAAAGGACGGAGTTTCCTGGGGTTCGAGTGAGAAGTCGTGACCAGTGATGTCCATCCAGATGTCACGTGTGAGGATTGATGTCTCACCCACGACATCGGTAGGGGGCACTCTAAATCACGAATTGGTAGAAGTTAGAATTCGTGGACTACTGGCCATTGAATCGGGTGG